AATGATGTACAAATGCGCTTTACACAATTGATGTGTGTATGGATTGCGATAACAGTTGTATAAGCCCCTAATAAAATGTTAAAAAAGAAAAAAAAATGTTTTAAAAAAAAGAAAATGAGTCTACTTGAGAGAACTTGGAAAAGCTCCTTGAGAGCATTATATTGTACTTGTTTTTGAAAATAATCGATGCTATTAATTAAAGAATTCATCAGCCACTTCATGTTTAAAGTTTCACAATATTTGTATTCATTGATTAAGCTAACAGTGCAATAGCAGAATATAGATTTGATGAGTCCTATTAAGATAACTACTTGTGTACGTTATTAATTCAGTCATCCCATCGATTTCTATTTAGCGCTTAGTGGTAAAGTCACTATCTGTCTTTTTATTCACTGACTAGCACATACTTTTTGAGTGAAGGAAGGAATCAAGTATTTATTTCTTACCTACTCTGTTCTTTGCGCTGTTAGATATTTCTGACATAATATTTATCTTGAGAAACTCATCTTGACCACCACATTCATTCATTCATATCTTGAGAGCATGAGTGCCAGACAGCATTCTGTTGCATGGGCTATACCAGCAAGCCAAGCAGACAGAAATACTAGTCGATCACACTTAAACCTTTTAACGCAGGGAGAAGTAGTAAATCACGTAATACAAAATGCAAACCAAATCGTGTATTATAAATAAAAATTGTTAAGGAGAAAAAAACAATGTGGTTAGAAGGATCAGAAATGTCAGGAATAGAGAAGGGCGCAGTGCAGTTTTAAAATTGGGTACAGAATTCATTGAAATGGATATTTTTGCACATTGACTTAAAAGAGATGAGATAGTTAGCTTTATAGGTTCTTGGGAAATGAGTGTTTCAACTAGCAGGACCAGACAATTTAAAATCCTCTAGACATACCTAATATCTTCAAAGAAGAGGTAAGTTTGCATGGAGCCTTGTAAATGAGGGGGGAAATATTATAAGATAAGATAAAATGAGAAGAAATAGAAGTTATATGATGTATAGTGTAGACCATTTAAAGACTAGCTTTTACTGGAAGTGAAACTGGGCATTGCTTCTGGGTTTTGAACAAAGGGGTGATGTTTGTCACTGGCTGCTCAGGGGAACTCAGGGTAGAAGCAAGGTGATAAGTTAAGAAGCTTTTGAGACAAGGAGTGAGTGAGAAGTAGCCTGGATATATTTTGAAGCCCAACAGGATTTCTTAAATGACTGGATATGGGGTATGGCAGAGCAGAGTCAAGAATGAGTGACTGTGAGCCTTTGAAAGAGAGATTGTCAACAACTGAGACAGGGAATACTGCAGGTCGATCAAGTGTAGGTAGAAAAATCTCGAGTTCAATTTTGGACATGTTAAGTTTTAAATTTTGAATCTTGGATGCTACTACTTGATCAGCAGGATTTCTGAATTTTGTGTTAAGGGATGAGGATTAGGAGCTCTAACTTTGGAAGCCATTGACATGTAGGTGGTATTTAAGGGAATGAAAATAAAACAAAAACACTGCCATCCAGCCAAGCAGAGTCAAGTCCCAACTCATGGCAAGGGCAAAGTAGAACTGCTTCCAAGGGTTTCTGAGTTTTTGAATCTGGGAACAGAAAGCTTATCGTTTTCCCTCAGTGTATTTTGTTGGTTCAAACTGCTGGCCTTTGGGTTCGGGGTTCAATTTGTAGCCAACACTGCCACCAGGGCTTCTTGGGAAGTAGAATAAAGTAAATGCAGATCAAGAAAATAAGGTCCCGAGGCCCTTTAAAATGAAGAGGTCATGGAGAAAAGTTGAAAATCCCAAAGCCTAGAAGAAAAGAAAGGGGCAAAAGAGGAAAATGGAGAAAATCAGAGTTCTGGAAACCAGCTAAATGATTTTAAAGGGGCTTGCTATTGGAAGGTCAAGTAATAGAAGGATTGAAAAGTGATTACTAACTTTAGTAAACTAGAGGTTAACTTGTTTGGACAAGTGACAGTGGCAAAAGATTTGATTGGAATAGATTTTAAAACAACTTTTAAAGATTTTAAAAGCTTGTGAAACAACTTGAGCAATTTCTACAAAAGGGAGGGAAGAAATGAGGCAGAGTTGGTTGAGGAAGAGGGATCATTAAGATCCTTTATTAATCTTTAAAGATGGCCGCTTGCTCTTACAGTGGTGCAGTTGATCAAGCAGAGAGGGAAATTGGTGATATGGGGAAAAAGTGATGCCTGGGAACATGGGTGAAGCAAAATTCCTTGAATTGCTAAAAGTATATAGGCTCTGAGAGCGTACCATCAAGAAATGTTCTAAATGTCTTGTGTTCAATGATTACTTGTAAGTTAAACATTTTATTCATTATACTGTACATTTATTTTCATTTAATAAAGATGGAGGACAAACCCAATTTCAAGTATTGTCTTGGGGACACTTAATAAAATGTGAAGTAACTAGAATTGTTTCTTATTATCTTAGAATAGTAATAAACCAGATACTCATGCTGGATAAAGAAAGTACCTGAAAAGGAATTCATTTTAAAAACCCCAAACCAAACTAACTGGCATCAAGTCAATCCCAAGTCATCGTGATGTTCTAAGGCAGAGTAAAACTGTCCCTGTCAGTTTCCAAGGCTGTAGGTCTTTACAGGAGTAGAAAGCCTCATTGTGTTCCAAGGCGTGGCTGATGGGTTTGAACCACTGACTTTGTGATTAGCAACCCAACATGTAACTCAAGATGCTCCTAAAGAACTCATTAGATGTGGCTTAATAGTCAAAGAAAGCTGTCATTAAAGCTGCCTTAACAAACGTTACCTTTTTTCTTAAGGTGTAGCTAGTTTGAATCAGAGTGCACTGAGCCGACCAATGCAAAGGAAGCTGGTGACACTTGTCAACTGCCAGCTGGTGGAGGAAGAAGGTCGCGTAAGAGCCATGCGAGCAGCCCGTTCACTTGGAGAAAGAACTGTAACAGAACTGATATTACAGCATCAGAACCCTCAGCAGCTGTCTGCCAACCTATGGGCTGCTGTTAGGGCTCGAGGATGTCAGTTTCTAGGGCCAGGTAAGAAGTAACAGTATAGTGATTGCCTACCTTCCATATTAGCCATCAGGACTTAAGGGTGTATGGTTTATCAATTTCTAGAGCTAGGAAGAATCCTTGGACTCCTCTTTCTACACACATACCGACATAATTAGAGATTACATAAAACTGGCATGAGAGGCCAGTGGGCCTCTCACTCTCTTGTTCCCATCCCAAGTCACAGTGGTCAGACTGACTCCACCCTCTATCCTTCTTTACCTATTCTAACACCAACCATCCCTCCCACAGCACTCTATTTTTATTCTGGGGTCAGTAATTCATTGCAGTGGCCACAGAGAACTCACAGACAAAATTCACAATTATGGTATTTATTCGGGAAATAAGCAACACCTCTCCTCAGTCAGCGACCAATTGTCCCTCTCTGCTCATCAGCCTCTCAGCTACGTTGTCCCCTTGCCCTGTGCCTCCAGAGGCCAGGAAGCCTGCCCACAGCTCATCTTCACAGTTTCATAGTCTAGTTGGCGCCCCTCTGTTTTGCCTCAAGGTTTCCTTGCCATAGTTTCAGCCTCCATCACTTCAAACACAGATCTCAAATGTGCTCCTCTGCCAATGGTCCTGGGTTTTCTCTCTGCTCTGCCTTCTCTCAAAGGAATGGCTGTGAGGTATGACTTCTTTCAGCAGTTTTAACACCAAAGAAACAAAGGGTGTGACCTGGTTCATACCTTCTACTAAATTAGAGACTTAATGCCACTTTAGTCTTGTCCATTAGCATAGCATACCTCCAAACCAATCCTCCAAATACTCCTAGCAATCCTGTAGGACAGAATAGAACTACCCTTGCAAGTTTCCGAGACTATAACTTCTTATTCTTTAGAAAGCCCTGTCTTTCTCCCAAGGCAGCTGGTGGATTTGAACTTCTAACCTCATAGATTGCAGCTCATTGTGTAACCACTAAACCCCTCTCTCCAAAATGAGATTTTAGCCACAGCTATAGAGTCCAGAATAATAATACAATGCATAAGGAATTTTAGCTAGAAGAACCATAGTAATTGCTTACATCTCATAAATAGACTTAGTAGTTGTTAATCTTAGTCTGTATTATAGAGTCAATGTTTTAGAATACCTTTCTCATTCAAGATTGAGAATTTCACTTTAAGATAGAAGACAGCTCCAATTTTACGAATTAGAGAATGGAATTAGAAGCTCAAGATAACACGGGTAGTAAGCAGTGGAAAACTTATTTTTTTATGGTGGGGAGTGGAGGACCACAGATTGGGGGGGGGAAGGCCAAAAGCTTTTGATAGTTTTTAAAACATGAGAAAAATGTTAAAATTAAAACTGTCTAGGAATAATTCTTTATGATTAGTGCATTTTAATCTTAAAAATCTTTATTTGTTCCATGGTTATAAAGGATTCTCTTGTGTTACCTTCTAAAAAGAATTGATTCCAAACATCAAAATAAAGTAAAAAGATATGATAAACTGGGCAAAATGTTTATAAATTATATCACAAAGAGCTCATTTGAAAGAGCAAAACCCAGCAACCCAATTAAAACTCTACACAAGATTTAGACAGAATTCACAGTACAAATTAATATATATAGTCTCAATCCTATAAAAATGTACTCATCTCATATCTGTAGAAATATACATTAAAATTACCCTGCGATTCCATTTCTCACCTATTATATTGCTAAGTATTCAAAGCTTTGTAATATACTCTTGGCATTGTTGTGTTTAAATTGGTTAATGTATCATTTCACCCTTAATGGTGGAAATGTGAAGCTGGTATGAACTTAAAGGAACTGGGGCCTTATATAGCAAAATCACCTGTGCAATTTATCTTTGGCTCAACAATCCCACTTCTAAGAATCTATCCCAAACACATAGCAAAAAGGAACAAAATAAAGTTATAAAAACTATTTATAATAGCAAATCATTGCTTCTTGGCCTTTTGGCCAAGATCAAGGATAGCAGCAAATACTTGGAAGCAATTTGAACATCTGTTGATATTCCCAACTCAACTGCTGTCCAGTCAGTTCCCACTCAGAGCAACCATGTAGAAAGAGTAGAAACGTAGTGTTTGTTTCCAAGGGTGCAGATTTCTACAGCGACAGAAAGCCTCATCTTAAGCGGAGGCACAAGTGGGGTCGAACTGCTGACCCTGTGGTTAGCAGCCCAACTCCTGACTCATTACACTACTGGGTTTTTGTGTCAGTTGATAGGTTTACTAAATTGTCTTGTGTCCTTCCAGTGCAATTGTTATATGTGGACAGTATAAATATTGCACAAGGGTGTGATCTCAAGAGATATGTGTTATAAAATTAAAACAAGGTACAGGGAGTGTGCTTAGTATGCTACTTTTTGTGTAAAAAGGAGAACGAGATACAATCATGTCTACTTTTTAATATTTTCCATAAGCGACAACAGTGAAAATTAAAAGTTAAAAATGTAGAATAAAGGGCCAGGGGGAAAGCAAAGACATTAGAACTCTGAATATACCTGTTTTGACTTTGGAAAGAGGTAAATGTTTTACACAGTCTAATTCATAAAACAGTATTCCCTATCATAAAATTTAAAAATATAAAGGGCAAGTTGGTAACAGCTCCTTAAAGAAAGGAATAATTTTAGGTGATTTTTTTCAACACAAGATTTTGATTTTATATTCCTATAAGTCTTAATCTAACTAGTCATATTATTAATAGTTTTATTGGCATTATTATTTGGAAACTATTATACAGATATACAGTAAGATAAAGGTAGCCATTATGTCCATCCCATCAAGATTCTCAGCACTAAAAAAACAGTACATAATCAAATAATTTACATAATCCTCCTACAATTTAAATTTGAATTGCCAATGGCTTGATTGATTTTTCTCTTGCTAAAAACTGCGTATTTCCTAGACCTATCAACTGAAAAGTGTACAAGCAATGAATAACCGCAGCACTAAGACTAACCCTTAATAAATACTCTGCCCACTAACAGAAGCATCATTCTTTATGCAAATGCCTTGTTCCAGTACTAGGGTAGGAAATTCTAGGATGAGCATGGAAAGTATAGAAAACAAAAATGCTAACAGAGAACACTGGTGTTCACAAGACAGAAGGAAATTTGATGGGGCTCCCACTTACCATATGAAATTATTTAAACAACAAAATACATAATGACTGTAATGGTTGATTTGTGAATGTGTAATGATTTTGTAGAGAAAATGTCATTGGTTAGTTTTGAGTGGTTTCTAAAGCAACAACCTATAATCCTGGAAATTTAAAAGGGAAGACAATTCGAGCATTTTTTCCCTACCTTTCTTATACAAACTGTTTCAGGGATGGGTCTTCTGTAACAAGAACAACAAACCGACAGGCTCACTGCCATCGAGTCAGTGCTGACTCATAGTCACCCCACCCTGGATTCCCGAGACCGTAACTGTTATGGGAGTAGAAAGCCCACCCTTTCACCTGTGGAACTGTTGGTGGTTTTGAACTGCCAACTGTGCAAATCACAGCCCAACATGTAACCACGACACCATCAGGGGTCCTGATTCTTCTATATTCAGGGACAATTCCTTGTTTGGCAGAATTTCAGCTAATATAGAAAAAGTGATAATATTTTTGTAACTCCAAATTAATTACTAGGTCTCGGATAAAAATGACTGTCAACTGTTGATACTGTTAAGAGGTTGATAGAGAATGTATAATGAATAAAGTCTGAAGATACTGAAAAATCTTTGCATTACTAAAAGTGAGTTGACTAGCTTTTATTTATATCCTGAAGTGAGGCAGGGAATAAAAAATATGACAGGGCTTCAAAATTCATAAAACAAAATTCCTTTATCGAGCCATCTCCCACCAGCTACCCTCAGACCCCTGGGGAAGCCTAAAAATGTCAAATAGAGGACCAAGAAGTTCATCCCGCACCAATCTGACCACTCTGTCAAGATTAAGCGCAACTGGCGCAAGCCCAGAAGTATTGACAATAGGGTGCGGAGAAGATTCAAAGGCCAGATCTTGATGCCCAACACTGGTTACGGGAGCAACAAGAAAACCAAGCACATGCTGCCCAGTGGCTTCCGCAAGTTCCTGGTCCACACCGTCAAGGAGCTGGAAGTGCTGGTGATGTGCAACAAGTCTTCCTGTGCAGAGATTGCTCATGTTTCCTCCGAGAATCACAAAGCCATTGTAGAAAGAGCAGCCAACTGGCCATCAGAGTCACCAATCCCAACGCCAGGCTGCACAGTGAAGAAAATGAATAGATGGCCCATTTGCGAGTTCTATTTGTGTAAATAAAACCAGAAATGAAAAAAAACCCAACATTATCTTTAAGTTCTAATTTCAGGAGCTTTGTGAAGCTTCTTTGTGTACTTGGCAACAAGCAGCAGCAAACAACTGACCCAATTTAATCAAGTCCTCTAATAGAAAGGAAATAAAGGGAAGGGGAGATTGAGGAACTTATTAAAAAACAACAAACACAAAATTAGTCAAACAATATGAGAACGTTTTTGAAATGTTGAGTTTATTTCCTTAGCAAATAAATGAATTTTCTTTTAAAAGGTTTCATGGAGGCTGGTTGGAAGTTGATAGAAATTTTATTTGGATTACTAATTCAACCAATTCTAAGAATACACGTTTGAGACAATGGGCGGAAACTAACCATGGACTGGGTGTTATGTTAATATTAAAGAGTTACTAGTACTTAAATTGGATGTGGTAGTAGTGTTCATTAAGAAAACAAATCCTATTTCAAAAAAAAAAAAAGAAAACAAATCCTTATCCATTATAAATAGATAGTACTGTATTTAAGGATGAAGTGCTATGTTACCTAGGATTTATTTCAAAATTGGCCTAAGTAAACTAAAAAAGTAGATAAGTAGTAGATAAAATATGATTGATAACAGCTTTGTTAATAGGCACCTTTTACCTCTACTGTCCATGTTTTACTGTTTTCCATAATACAAACTTTAATTTAAAATTACTTTTTAGACTACATTTATATATAACTGAAAGCATATTGCCTTTGGCTATTTCCTCATGAACAGACAACTCAATAAAAAATGGGCAAAGGACTTGAATCAACATTTCTCCAAAAATAATCATGCAAAATGGCCGACAGCACCTGAAACGATGTTCATTGTCACTAGTTATTAGGGATGTGGAGGAATCACAATGAGCTATCACTTCACTCAGTAAAATGCTAGAGTTTTTTTGTTTTTTTTTAAGGAAAGTAAGTGTTGGCACAAATGTGGTGGAACTGGAAACTTTTTTATTGGCCAGAATGTAAAATGGTTTAGTTACGGTGGAAACATCTTGATGATTCCTCAAAGGGTTAACCATCAAATTACTATATGACTCATCGGTTTCACTCCTAGGTAGATCATTAAAAGAATTGAAAACTGGTATTCAAACAAATTATTGTTAAGTTAACATTCAAAGCAGTACCATTCACTTTGCCAAAAGATGGGAAAGATCTACATGTCTATGATTCATGAATATACAAAATGTAATGTATATTCTTACTCACTGTCAAGTCCATTCTGACTCAGTGACTATAGAGTATAGTAAAACTGCACCTATGGGTTTCTGAACCTGAAACTCTGAATATTTACAGGGTATTCTTCATAATTTGTTTGCTGATGTGCTCTTATGATTAGATTCATATTATACTATGTATCTCTGAAGAACAATGAAAATGAATACTTTCTGTATGTATTCTATCCAGAAGCTCAAAACACATTAAGATTTTATATATAAAATAATTTTGATAGACACAGTAACAGCCATATGCATAAAAATAATTTCCATATATTAAAAACCTGCCTTTGTGTGGGTTTTTTAATTGAGTAGCTCACTTTAACATCATTACCTAATTTATTAATATTTGCAGAAGATATTTTACATTTTATTGCCTTGTGTTCTGATTGACTATAGGAAAACTGCTTTATTTTATTTGTTTTTTATTAAACTATGTTTATGTGATATTTTCCTTATTTGTGCTAATTAAATACAGACTCTGTGGTGTGGTGGTTTACATGTTGGACTGGTAACCTCAAACCCACCAGCTGCAGTTCAAACCCACCAGCTGCTCCACAGGTGATACATGAGACAGCCTGACACTCACAGCCTCACAGTTTCAGAACTCTAGTGAGCAGCTCTGTTCTTGTCCAGTATGAGTCCCAAGGGTAGTGAGTTTGTTTATATGGATAATGGAGCACCGTAAACTGATACCTAAAGAAGATTGTGGCAGACATGCTCTGCAGGGTTCCTCGTTTGTCATGAACTGTTGTTGCCTACTTTTAATATTTCTAGCTATGCAAGAAGAAGCCTTGAAACTGGTGTTGCTGGCATTAGAAGATGGTTCTGCCCTCTCAAGGAAAGTTCTGGTACTTTTTGTTGTACAAAGGCTAGAACCAAGATTTCCTCAGGCATCAAAAACGAGTATTGGTCATGTTGTGCAACTATTGTATCGAGCATCTTGTTTTAAGGTAAGCCAACAGCTGTCAACTGTCTAGCAGCGCGGTTCTCGACCTGAGGGTTGCAACCCCTTTGTGGGTCGAAAGACCTTTTCACAGGGTTCACCCGATTCATAACAGTAGCAAATATACAGTTAAGAAGTAGCAACAAAAATAATGTTATGGTGGGGGGTCACCACCACATGAGGAACTGTATTAAAGGGTTGCACCATTGAGAAGGTTGAGAACCATTGGTCTAGAGATTATCTGCCCATGTATGAGATAGGCTTCCTTGGGCAGGTGCTTCCAATTCAGACTTCAGAAGTACAGAATGTTGTCTACAGCTGAGAAGAGATTTCCCCCCACTGCATTGTTTGCATCTATTGAGAATAAGAACCCATGTATGAAGCTGCCAGTAGCTCAGAGCAGAACATAAGGGATTAGATTGGTAAACCTGACTTGACATAGTAAAAGTGAATCTCAGGAGCCTAGTTCTTTTATATGTACCATTTTTAAAGTTTGTCAAGAATTATACTAAAGATGTTATTAAAATGGGTAATGGTTGTAACTTCCGTAATATGATGTTTAACCTTCTGCCTGTCATGATTAGAATGAAGAATTAAGACTATTAGTCTGAAAATGCCCTGTGTGTTGTCTTAGGGACAACGAGGAAGTGAAAAATTGAAGATACTACCTCACTCTGCATTGGATTTTTTGGGGTCTGGTGGAAAAGCCAAGGAAAGTTACCTCGAGTTGGTTCCGACCTCAGGGACCCTGTGCCGAACAGAACAATCAACTGCTGGGTTCTGTGCCATCCTCACATTTGTTACTCTGCTTGAGCCCATTTTCAGAGAGAGAGTTAGAAATGTGTTTTTTGTTGTCTAATGGGCCTAGAGGTTCCGGCAGGTACTGAATGAAGTGGAAAGAATTCTTGAGGTTACAACTGCATACTAGTGTAGGTTCTTGACTGGGGCTTAAGACTTGTGACTGGATGGCACTGAGTTTGTGCTTTTGCCTTGTGTGCAAGTATAACTTTAAATTTAAAATGAAAACATACTTTGCTGATTTTGTAGCACCAGGAATGATAAAGACAGGGAATAAAAGGTGTTGTTGGCAAATTGCTCAGCTTGAGATACAAGGGGGCTTCAAATATTTGTGGAAAATGCCATTGCCATTTAATTCCATTTTTCTACAAACTGAAGCTTCCTCAGTTTTAGCTCATTGGTAGTGTAAATATATTTAGATGAACTCAGTGAACCTCAGTGAAGAGCCAGGGATAACATCTGTCTGATAGTTTTAGTGCTTGTTTCCATGGCCTTAGGGCAGCGATTGGATTGAATCTTTTGTTTCTCAAGCATATTTTTAGCTACGCAGCCAAATCAAAGAGATCACTCGTTATCCTGATGTGACAGACTACAGTAATGATTTTCATAGTAACTTAATGGTATCCTCCCCTAATAGATAAAATTACTCCTTGTTGGTTTATAGTTGTCATACATCTATAGCTGTACTAATAGCTGACATTTGAATAAAGCTAGTTTAGAAAGTGATTTCCCTTTTATGCCCTGATTTATTCCTTAAAGCCCTACCCCTGGTGTTTAAAATGTTAAAGTCCCTTTTAAATATCATGTTGACTTAACATGCTTCAGAAGTAAGTTTGTATTACTTATTGTAGTTGATGCCTGTATGTTTGGATAGTTAGACAGTTGTATTATGACATGAAAAACTCACTAACTGTTGAACTTCTTGGTTTTATTGTCATGAGGCAAATATAAATTAATGCTATATAAATAATACTTTATGTGGTGGCAGATTTTAATCATATGGTAGTGCTAATGTATACCTGTCGGTTGGATATCTTGCTGCTTATCATTGCTGCCAAAGTGGTGTTTTCATAAAGCATAAATTCTCTGTCATTTGTGCTTAAAAGTCCTCAGTGGTTTCTCATGCCCTTTAGGATAATATCCCACGTTTTATTATGTAAGACCTCTATGTTTATTTTCCAGCCTACATTGTAGCCTTTAGCTGTCTGTGCTTTGCTCTTATTTCTATTTCAAGAACCTGTCTCTCTTTAGCATTCTGTTCATCACTCTCTTAGCCTTGGGAATTCCCTTTTCTTCAAGACTCAGTTTATATAGTCTTTAGCTGAGGAACATTCTTTGGTATTCTTCTTGATCAGTCAGCTGTAATGGCTTTTTTCCCTTGTTGGTACAGTATAGCCTTATATTGTAATTGTCTGTTTACAAGTATTGTTGCCTACCAGCTGCATCGCTCATTAAAGGAAAGGACTTAAAGTGTTTTCCTTTCTTCCAAAAAGAATTTGTAGTGAGGATATTGCGTTTTCTTTGTGTGCTGGGTGCTGCAGGTCCCCAAAATAAATGAATGAAATTGTTATGGGGACAGGAAGAGAGAGAGAGAGAGAGAGAGTGTGTTTGTTAATCTCCTTTCTATTTTTTAGGTCACCAAAAGGGATGAAGACTCTTCTCTGATGCAACTAAAGGAGGAATTTCGGAGTTACGAGGCGTTACGCAGAGAACATGATGCACAGATTGTCCACATTGCTATGGAAGCAGGACTTCGCATTTCACCCGAGCAGTGGTCCTCCCTTCTGTATGGTGACCTAGCACATAAATCACACATGCAATCTATCATTGATAAGGTTTGTAAAATTAGAGCTATTGATTATATACTATTGCTTTTATGTTGAAGAGTACTTGAATTTTATACAGAGACAGGCATTTGGATATCGTTTTCTTTTTTTTAAATATTGAACTCTTCTAAATTATCATATTAAAAATGTTTTTACACTTTAAAAATTAACTAAGGCTACAAGGAGGCAAGTACAGAAATTAGAATAAATCTGGTAGGCTTAAAAAGTCAGAGGTTTATCAACATTCTAATCCCAGAGAGATATTAATAGCTTTTGAATAAGTTTTCTTTCTTTTTTTTTTTTTTATTTTAAATAAGTGCTCTAAGTGTCTAATGATGAATTTCATAGGGCAGATTCTGAGGTGGAAACGTAATTCACCATTGATACTCTTACTATGAATCTGAAGACACATGGAAACTTAATTTGACTAAATAAAAGCATTTGGGCATAGCTATATATATATCAAAAGAACCAGAGTAAACGCCATTCTCTTTTCTGTTTGTTAGCTCCAGTCTCCAGAATCATTTGCAAAGAGTGTCCAGGAATTGACAATTGTTTTGCAACGTACAGGTGACCCGGCTAACTTAAATAGACTGAGACCTCATTTAGAGCTTCTTGCAAACATAGATCCTAACCCAGGTATGTAGAAAAATAATCAGCATCTTAAAGTTTTCTACCTTTGAGTTTAATAACACTAGAGAAAAATTGCTAACAGATTTTCCTCCCAACCGCTTTTCCCTGGTGGCTTATTTTAGATGCCGTTTCGCCAACATGGGAGCAACTTGAAAATGCGATGGTAGCTGTTAAAACAGTGGTTCATGGACTTGTAGATTTCATACAGAATTACAGTAGAAAAGGCCATGAAGCACCTCAGGTAACAACATCTATGGCACTTTTGACTGCTGTTAGCTCTGAAACATTTGTAAAAGCTGCTTGTCAATGTCCTTATGGAACTAAATTTTAGTGGGAAAATACAGATCACAAAATGTTTGCCACTTAAATAATTTTTAGTTGTACAAGCCCATGGCATTGATTATATTCACCATTCTTCATAAGCTTTTATAGACCATTTTGGAAAAAGCTCACATTTTAGTTTCTGATAAGCATTTCATAGTTCAGCAACAGTTTGGATGCTATATTGGATAGGAGTTCAGTGGAATATAGAATGTTTTTGACCAAATACAAATTATTGATTTCCTCTGTTTTGTGTGATTGTTTTTGGAATGTGGGTAGTCACTCCCCCTCCCCCCACTACCCTCACCGAAATGAGTATGTTTGTAGATGTGTAGAATTTGAACTTTCAAGATATTTTCATTATCCTTTATTTCAAATCTATAGTTCTTCATTCTAATAATAATATCTATTTATTTAGCTACTGTGAACCAGTCGCTACATGCGGTATTTTACATATTTCTATACCTGTAGTAATCTGCAAGATGGATACTGCTCCTAAATTGAAATTTAAAGGGGTTAAATAACATACCTAAGGTTATGCTCATAATAAATGGCAGAGCCTAAATTAAATCTACTCCAAGTTGGTCATCTTTCCATTTTTCTATCCTTATTTATTAGAAGACATCATAATATTCAAGTGCTAACTAAAAAAAAAAAACAAAAAACCGAAAACTTCACTGAATTAGGGTAACAAATATAAGAATATCCTAAGTTTATGCAAATTATTGCAACTATTTGTTTTTAGTTTTAGTTTTTTTCTTCATTTATATGAGCCTAAATAATGCCAAGCTCAGATGAGCATTGTATACTCAAATTGACAAATAAATTGCTATTTCCTAATTTTCCACTTTCAGACAGAAATTACACTTTTAAGTGGACAAAGCCTATTGCCCTTAATGCTTTTGTAATTGTTTACTTACCAGAATATCAAGACAGCAATACATTAATGATAACATCTTTCATTGTATTGGGCTTTATGTTGCCTGATAAATAGATAAGCATTTGGTTTGGTTTCAGATAATCCTTAGGAGAAATGTTTAAATCCCAACCGAGTTCTACCACATAACTCACAACAGGAACACTGTTCAAATGGAATGGTATTTATTTCAGTGCAGTCTTTACATTTTTAATGTGGAAAATGTGATCATGAAGTTCTGCAGTCTTGAGTGATTAACAACTAGAATATTAAAAGTTTCCAAATATCTAATTCCTCCCACTTGTGTGTGTGTGTGTGTGTGTGTGCTTGCGTGCATGCGAACGTGTTTCTTTTCCTTATAGCCCCAGCCAAACAGTAAATACAAGACTAGCATGTGCCGAGATCTACGACAGCAAGGGGGGTGTCCACGAGGAACAAATTGTACATTTGCCCATTCTCAGGAAGAACTTGAAAAGTAAGTCATAAGCATTGTTTCATGCAAGCTTCAGTTTCTGATCATTAAGAACATGTCTTACACAATGTTGATTTGTCATGAGCTTCAGAGATGCAAGTAAATTCACACTATAGAGTTTTTTAGATTGCAGTAGCTTTTATTTCTTTGTTTTTGAACCGTCACATGGCTTACAGGAGAAACATTAAATGATAAATGATTTGAAACTTTATTCGAGAGCCCTGTCTTGAGACTAGTTTAGAGCCAGAATCTCTTTCTACTAAGTTTCTCTGCAGAAAATAAATTGCCCTCCAGTGTACACATTGAGCTCTGGTGGCATGGTGGGTTATGCATTGGACTGCTAACCTCCTCAAGATCAGCTGTTTGAAAACACCAGCTGCTCCAAGGGCGAAAGATGAAGCTTTTTACTTTTCTAAAGAGTTATATTCCTGGAAACCCACAGGGGCACTTCTGCTCTGTCCTTTTGGGTCCCTGTGAGTCGGAAGCAACTGGATGATGGTGAGTTTGGTTTTGGTGTACATTTCAGATTCAACCGAAAGCCTTGGCAAAATGGGAAAGCAGATCCTTTTTTAAATCGAATGGCCTTTAATCTTGTCAACATTCTTTTTTTCCTACCTTTTCTCTCTTCTCTCCTCTTATAAGGAACCCCAGATCCAAAGTCAATGGGGATAAGGTATTACACATTGTCCAAATATCTTAGACTATTTTGCTTTTTTTAAACCAAAATTCTAATTGAGGCCTCACAAGAACATTTGATCACATCATTTCATTTGAAAATCTGATCTATATTTCACATCATTACTGAGTATTTTCATTTTACTGCTTTGTAATTAAAACTCAAGCTGAATTTTCTCTTCCCCTGCTTTTCCTCCTCCATCTTCTGTCTTCTGTTCTGCCATTCCCCATTTTGTCCCCTCAAGCCATGTTAGGGAGTCATCTTTCAGGGTTTTCTCCGTTCTGCTTATCTTGATCACTCACCAAGTTCTGCTGTTTATATTTTGTATTCTTAATGTATTTCTCAATCTCTTCTTTCCAGGTTATTGTCTCCCCTTCTTAATCTGCAGTTGTCTCTTAAGTAATCGTAGAACTACCATTTCTTGTCCCTCCTCGTTATTCCCCACAAATCAGAAGTCTTTTAAAGAAACAAAGCAAGTCATGCCCTCCTCTTTATCTAAGTTTTTACTAAATTTTCTTTTCGCCGAAGATAAAAGTTAGAAAATCTGAATTGTGACTGTTATCTAGTTTGTACCTACTTCTCTGATCTCTGTGCCATTGTTGATCTTAGAGTCATTTCAGTTGAATAGTGGGGACAAAGACTGGAGTTTTATGGGTTCATAAGAGAATGCGTAGTAAAAATTCTGCATACAAGCACTTTTCTAAAGACGTTAGTGATAATAGAGAGCAGAAAAGTAGCATACACAAGGTGCTTCAAAAAGTTTGTGGAAAAATTCCATTATTGTTTCATTCTATCTTTCCACTAACTTTTTGAATCTCCCTCACAGGTAAAAGGCAACCTGGGGAGTATTTTTAAATGCTTAATATGAGTTGTATATTAGAAAAGACAAGAAAAGGGGAAAATTCCTAATTCACTAGAAAAAGTAATCACAGGAATGATGTCTTTAAGATAAGCTCTCCACTTAAAACCTAAGTGGAAAAATGGTCCTTGGTTAGGAACAGGAAATCTTTATTTAGTAGGAAAGACTGTTGTGGTTCCAAATGCATGAAGGTTAATGGAATTGGTATTGGAAAGATGAGCAATTCTGTGGTTTTATCTGTTTTTCTGTTCTCTTAGAGTAAGGTCGTCAATCATGAGAAGGGCAGCAGAGACTGGATAGACCAAAAAATGTTAGAGTTGGAAAAGAGAACTTGGTTGAGATATGTATTTACTATATTGCATGACCATTTAAAGTAATTGACTATAATTTTGAAAGAATTGTAGGTAACATGATTGTACACTTTTTCTCCAGCATATTCAGCTGCTTGGAAGCAGGCACAATGTGAGTGAAAAAAATGGGTTTAACCAAACCCGGGGTTTTACCAAATGAATTCAACAGATCATGAATGGATCAAGAGAAAAGGTATTTGCAGAGTAGGGTTTAATGATGTATACTGGATTCTAAGTTAGATAAAGCCAGGAGTGAGTGCTTGAGTGGGGAACACATGGACAAATTTAAAAGATTGAGGACTACCGTAACATTATTAGAAGCAAATGTAGGGGCAAGGCTGTGGGACCTAGTGTTTAATGATAGATTGTCAAATATGATAACAGAAATTCCTGCAGTAAAAGATGAAATTAAAATAGATAGGACCTCATAATTATTGAGTACTTTTGTCCATCAGAAGATTTCCATCAACAAATTGGAAAGACAACCTCCATATTGGGAGAAATTCTTGAGGAACCTTAAATATGTCAGATAAAAGCCTAAACCTAAAACACATATAAAAAACTTCTATTTAGCAGAAAAAGAGAGCCAACCTAGTCAAAAAGTGAGCAAACCCAGGGGAGATGCTTTAGAATTTTCTCTGTCATAAAATGGTGATGATGTCTCTAAAATGAACCAGAGACATATATAAACCATAGATATATGAATGGATTCTGGGCTTACACTTAATTCTAGCCCCATTCTAAGAAAAATGGGTTCTTATGACATGGCCCTGCTCAGTGCTCACCCTCCCGAGGGGCTCACTGAAGATAGGGGTGCTATAGCAAAGTGTGGTAAAGAAACCAGATGGTACCCAAATATCAGCAAGAATAGGATCTGGGGTTTTAGAGGTTTATCTTCCAAAGCAGCCATCTATCTAACTAGATGTCTACCAAGTCTACATGAAAGAAGCACACCAGCCTGATTGATTGAAGGATTGTGATAATAAAACCCACATCTAAAGAAGGGAATGGAATCTAAACTTAAATTGTGAACACCCGATTTGCAGAAGACTGTGGATGACTAAACACCGAAAATCTATTTGCAGGGTCGCCAAATGAATTAAGTTTCTGTTGAATCCCCTCTGACTAGTTGAAGAATGTGAATGTCCTTTTTATTGTTTTTTTCAAGTACTTTAATTGGGGGCTCTTACATCTCATCACAATCCATACAGTAGTCATTCAATGTGTCAAGCACATTTGCATATATGCTGCCATCATGAGTTTAAAAGCATTTCTCTTCCCACTTGAGCCACTGATATCAGCTCCCCCTCTCATCTCCCTCCCTCATGAACCCTTGATAAGTTATAGATTATTATTCCCATATCTTACATTGTCCTCTGTCACCCCTCACCCACTTTTCCGTTATTCATTCCCCTGGGAGGGAGTTCTAGATTGATCCTTGTGATTGAAACCCCCTTCCTTCCCCCACCCTCCCCTAATCCTCCTGGTATCTCTACTCTCCTGGTTGACCCTGAGAGGTTTATCTATCCTGGATTCCCTGCGGGCTCTTATCTGTAGCAGTGTGCATGATCTGGTCTAATCCGATTTGTAAGGTAGAACTGAGGTCATGGTAGTGGGGTAAACACCAAAGAACTAGAGGAAAGTTGTGTGTTTCATAGGTGCTATACTGCACCCTGACTGACTCATCTCTTCCTTGTGAGACCACCCTGTGAGGAGATGTCTAATTGTCTACAGATGGGCATTGGGTCTCCACTCCATGTCCCCAACCCCCATCCCCTATTCACATTGGGTATGATTTTGTTCTGGATCTTCGATGCCTGACACCCGATTCCATCGACACCTCATGATCACACAGGCTGGTGTGCTTCTTCCACATGGGCTTTGTTGCTTCTCAGGTAGCTGGCCGCTTGTTTATTTTCAAGCCTTTAAGACCCCAGATGCTATGTCTTTTGATAGCCGGGCACCATCAGTTTTCTTCACCACATTTGCTTATGTAGAGCAACCGTGTTGGGAAGGTCAGCATCACCGAATGCCGGATTGTTAGAACAAAGTGTTCTTGTGTTGGGGGAGTCTTGAGTCAAGGTCCAGTCTCCTTCTGCAATCTTAATTCTTGCTGTTTGCAGTGCAACACACAACCACTACACCACCAGGGCTCCCTTTTATGCAACCTTAATTCTTAAATATAGATATGAGTACATAGTTCTAGTCCCCTCTCATTATATATATATATTTACATATGTACATGCCTATATTTAGGCCTCTATAAAAGTCCTTTGCCCCCTGGTTCTTTCCTCTATTTCCTTTTACTTTCCTCTTGTCCCACCATCATGTCTGGCCTTCATTCGGGTTTAGTAATTCCTCGCTGCTACATTGCCCTTGATTAAGCCCCACTAGGCTTCCTACAAACTTTCTTCCATTGATTTTAGTTCACTTGTTCTCGGGTTGGTGTCCATACCCTTGCTAATATCTTGTTATCAGACAACATCATAAAGTCAGATTATGGATCTGACTTCCGGTTTAAATGGGATACCTTATCATTTGATCTCCTTGTTTCAATTTTCTGCTTTCTCTTTGAAGTTTTTCTGTGTTTTGTCTAGTCATTGTTGTTCGTTTTGTTTGATTGCTTCCTGTTTGTATTTTGTATGATTCTGTAAATAAAATCCAGCTTTCCAGATAGGTAAGCTCTATGGAGAGTAACTGGATCGGGGCATGAAAGAGAAGGGTTGAGGGAACTGGGAGCTAACAGTGAGTATGAGAACAACATGTTTTGAGATTGACTTGGGTGATGATTGAATAGCTCTTAAAATAACTGAGTGATTATGTGATCATATGCCAATAAACATTTTTTTAAATGGTCAAAGCAAAAGATATTAAGGGGATGGGTGACTGTATATGCTGATACTAATTAGACATAACCAACTGTATTAGTCTGGGTACATTAGAGAAACAAATCCACAGAAACTCATGTATAAGAGAGAGTTTTATATAAAGGTTAAGTGCACATCAAGAAAACATTCAAACTCAGTGCTGCCCAAGCCCACAAGTCCAACATTAACCCATATGTCCAACAACAATCCACAAAGTCCTCCTCCATCTCACAAAACAGACGCAATGACGCCGACTGCAGGAGGAAAGCCGAGTCAGTGAATGTGTAAGCATCTCAGTGCTGGCAGGGATCTCCCCGGGCTGCTCCAGTACCCAGGACTGCTTCAGGGTAGGTCCATGTGGCTTCTCCTCAGGGATGTCTTGCAGGAAGTGAGCCTTGCCAGCTGAAGCAGGGAACTAGCTAAGGCAGCTGCACCGTGGTCCGACCAGAAGAAAGCAAGAGACCCGAGAACTAGAAAGGCGAGGTTCACCGAGCCATTTATCCCTCTGCCCTTCAATTAACCCCAGGTTGGCACAATAAATTAACTACCTTACCAACCAACTCAAAGATTTGTTCTCTAGGTTAGGGTCATGGTTTCATGAGACAATCCAGTTAGTTGGCATAATATACTTCTACTTCCTAATAGCTGAGTAGCATTTGAGGCCTTAAAAGCTTACAGCTGGACAACTAAGACACCAGCACTCTTTATTCAACGGGAACAAAAGAGAAAGAATGGGAACCCAAGAAGAGAAGAAACCGGACTATAGGATTAATTTACTCCAGGAACCAATTCCCCTTCTACCTTGAGATCAGAACTGCATGGTGCTCAGCTACCATTACTAGATGGATCTCGAAGGAAAGGGGAAAAAATGTAGAACAGAAGTTCAGATTCTTAAAACGCCTAGATTTATTGAACCTGGGACTATTAACTTAAGTTGCTCTTTAAACCTTGAATCTAAATTATCCTCTGAAGTAACAGTTTAAATTAAGTACCAGTTTAAGTCAAAAGATAGAGATTGCAATCTTGAAGAATTATATTTTAAAAAATAATCTTAAGATCAAATAGACACTGTTCTAAATCATAAGCATAAAGATTGGAGGCCAAGGACTCTTAAGTCAATAGGAAACAACTATTACAGAGATATTGAGGATGCTGGCACAATATGAAGGATGTAACCAATGTCACTATTCATCATACCTGTTGAATGGGAATGCGTTTTACTGCATGTATTTTCACAAAACATAAAATGTATTTTAAAAATGAGCAAAGGACTTGGACAGTTCATCAAAGATAATGAAATGGCCGATTAGCACAGGAAATGCTCCACGTCGTTAGCTTCCGTTGCTATTAGGTGCTGACAAGTTGTTTCCAATGTCGAGCAGCCTCTAGAACTCTACCCTCTCTGCCATCGGTACTGTCTTTGCTAGTTTTGAGCCAGATTTTTGCAGCTACTGTCAGTCTCTCTCATTATGGATCTTCTTCCTATTTTTCACTGACCCTTTATTCTGCCAAGCTTGATGTTCTCCTTCACGGATGAGACCCTCTTGGTAACATGGTTAATAAGTACTTGAGGCAAGTCTCACCATCCTTATCTTGAGCATTCTGACTGCTTTTTCCAAACATTCCTTTGTTGTTCTGGCTGTCCATTGTACTTTCAGTATTCTTTGCCAACCCTCTAATCGAAATATATCCATTCTTCTGCAATCTTCTTTATTTATTATTAAGCTTTCACATATATATGAAGTAATAGAAAGCACTATGGCTTGGGTCAGGTACACCTTATTCCCCAAAATGGCACCTTTGTTTTTAGCACTTTAAAGAGGCCTTTTTCAGCACATTTGCCTGATTTAATGCGACATTTGATTTCTTGATTATTGCTTCTATAGGCATTGATTGTGGGTCCAATAAAATTAAATCCTTGATAATGTCAATATTTTCTCCATTTATCATTATTTTGCTTATTAGCCCATTCATGGGGCTTTTGGTTTTCTTTATGTTAAACAGTAATCCATAAAGAATGCTATAGTATTTGATCTTCTGTAGATGCATCAAATCCTCTTTGTTTTCAGCCAACAAGCAAGCCGGTTGTTGGTATAGCTTTCTTTGTCATACGTTTCACTTGTTCAGCATACAGAGTGAGTAGATATGATGAAAGGACACACCCTGGTGCACACCTTTCCTGATTTTAAACCGTACCGTATACTTCTGTTCTTTCTAATTGACTGCCTTTTGGGGTACGTTCAGGTTCTGTATGAGCAATATTAAAGTGTTCTTGAATTTACATTCTTCGCAAAATTATCTACAATTTGTAATGAGCCAGTCATTAGAAATTGCAAATCAAGACCACAGCGAAATGTTACCTTACCTCCTTTAAATTAGCACTAAGAAAAGAGGAATGGGGGAAACACAAGGCAGCAAGTACTGATTAGTTTGTGGAGAGACCGGAACCCTTGTTTGTTGCTTAGAGGAATGTGAAATGGTATCGCTCTCGTGGGTCACAATGAGTCAGCATTAGCTCGATGACAGTGTGTTTGGTGTAGTTTATTTTGGAAGACAGTTTGGTGGTTCTTGTAAAAATTGAGCATAGAATTAGTCCAGGCAGCCTCCATCCGAGGTGTATGCCTAGGAGTGAAAGCAGGAATGTGAACAGCAACTCACACACCTAGATTTTGTGTGGCATACTCACAGTACCCTAAATGTTTCATGTCAAAAATTTACTACCACTAAGCCAATTCCAACTCACAGCAACATTGGAAGGCAGTATAGGACTGCTCTGTGGGTTTCTTAATGGAAGCAGAAAACCTCATCTTTCTCCTATAGGACCGCTGGTGGTTTTGAACCACCTTGCGGTTAGCTACACAATCTGTAAACCACTATGCCACCAGAGCTTCTTGCCAAAAGCTATAAAAAACCCAAATGTCTACCAACAGATGAATGAATAAGCAAAATGTGGTTTGTACAGGTAGACACTATCTGTCATGACGTGGGTATGCAGTGTCACATGTAGAATGTCTGTTCTGGTACCAGACTGCTTAGGTGTCCAGGAAGTGGACTTGGTTAGAAGGGTTCCAAGAAATGCCTCAACTCTGGCAGCTGACTCCTGTAGTATTTTGAGCAGCTACTCAGCTGCAGCATGGGCCTGTGAGGGGGACACCGGGCTGCAGCAACTCTGCTCTGCTCTTGTCTCTGGAGGCTTCCAATTCTGACCAGGCCCCGTGGGGCTGCTCTAAGAGTGGTGCAAGCCCAATGGCCTCCAGTTACACACGCGAGGTCATAAACTCTGGGAGCCCAGGTACTGAGCTTGTACAGGAATTACTTTGATATGTATCTATAGAACATATGCATATATATGTGCATATATATATATATATATAATAAATGCATAACATGGTGTTCACACAAAACATCCAAATCACATAACATCCCATTTCACAGACTCTTATCGTGGATGTTAAACACCCATACTTTTATATGTGTAAAATGGAATAAAGTGTAGCTGTAAAGAGAATGTTCTCAGCATGCCACAACATGGATGACCCTTGAAAACATGGTGAGCGAAACAAGACATTTCCAAAAGGAAATGTACTGTATAATCTCATTTACATGGAATAAGCAAATATGTAGAAACCAAAGATTAATGATTATCGGGTGGGAGACAGAATGGGAGTCATTGAGTGTATGTTAATGGTGGGGAGGAAATTTTGGAAAAGATTAGTGGTTAATTATGGCACAACATGAAAACTATTCTCAATGTTGTCCTTAAATTGTAAATATGGCAGGTTTTTTTCTCTTATTTTTATATGGAAGTATTTTTTGGCAAATGTTTTAGTGTGTATATTTTCTGAAAAATAAAATGAAAGGAAACGACTGAAGTTTTCATGTGTCAGACCCTTATTCTTCTGCCTGTTCCTACCACCCCTCTGGGTACACTGATGCCGGCAGTGCCACATGTCATTCTCCTCTGAGTCGAAACTTAACTCCTCATTCTCCTTTCTAGACTTGTGCTAGACTTGTGCTAGAACTTTTTTTGGTTTTGCTTGCTAGAGTGATTTTACGAACTTAGGGCATCTGAAATTTGTTGTTTGAGATTTGAAAACAAGGAGCAGTTAGATATTTTGTATAATTTTTTTTGAAGGTAAAGGAATGCAGAGTTGATTTCAAAGGATGTGTTGGCCAAGGCACAGGGATCTTTGGGCCCTTTGCTGCCACTGACCCGGCTTGGTCTACTTATGCTCAAAGTAATCATTGATTTCCCATTTGTAAACTGGCTATCACCTAGTTTTCTTCTGTTTTTTATTGCTTAATTTTCTATCACACCATCAACCAGTTTGATATGGAAACATTTTTATTGAACTTCACCTACTTCTGCCAGTGTGTGTGTAGGAATCACAGAGAGGAGAGAGAAAGACTGAATAATGAAGTGTTTGTGGTTCCTAAGGGACTACAGGGAACGACTGTAGAAGTATTGTTGATCACTAACACCCTATTTAACGACCATCTGTTTGATTATGTAATGTCAGGTTAATTTAGAAATATGTAACTTTATATTATAAAAATATATATACTTTTATTTTCTATTCATGTAATATAATGGTTCACCACTTGAAAATATTGCAAGTTACATTGACTAGAACTACATTATAATGCAATTTTTGTTGCACAAACTGATTTTTTTAGGTGGAGTCTCAGATCAAATTGCAACATATATTAGAATACTATGTCTGGTACCTTAAATAAAACAATACTAGAAAAGTCTTTAATCTGAATGCTCTTTTACTTTACGCATGAATAAATCTGAAAAATACAATACTAAAGTTCTATAATTTAACGTCATGCTAGTTTTAGAATGAATTGTAAAATGTTTTCCTATTGCCTTTTTTCTCTTTCAGAGTGAGATTTAGCAAAATGCTCATTGATTCATTGATTGTTTTTGAAACAGGTATCGATTACGGAACAAAAAGATCAATGCGACTGTAAGGACGTTTCCTCTTCTAAATAAAGGTGGTGTAAACCACACTGTCCCAAGCACAGCCGGAAATGTCATTTCTGTCATAGGAAGTACTGAACCAACGGGGAAAATGGTTCCAAGTGCAAATGGAATTTCAAATGCAGAAAACAGTGTTTCCCCACTAATCCCACGTAGTACTGATAATACACTGAGAGTTCTGGAGACTGTGAAGAAAGTTGGGAAAGTTGTAACTAATGGTCAGAATGCTGCTGGGCCCACTGCAGAGTCTGTAACTGAAAAGTAGGTATTTGGTAAAAATGATGAATATGCGTTCTTTATCCTTTTTACAAACGCCTGACTCTTCATTTTTCCTAAAGCAGGACATAACTTTAATGCATAACATTTGGTGTAGTAGAGAAGCCACTAGGTTATCATGAAATTTGAGTTCTTGCTGCTCTGTAACTGATTACTTTTATAACCTTGAAAAGTCACTTCAACTCGGGGTTTTATTTTCTTCAAATGCAAATTGGAGGGGTTGGATCAGGCAAAGGTTGTTTTCAGCCTATGTTTCCTTGAACTTTAGGATTTATTCCCGAGTTGCTGGAAAGGAAGTACCCATAAGTAGAAACCTAAACTGATGAAACTCTGAGCCTCCAGCCTCTGCTTCTGTAGAGCAGTTCCACTTTTTGCACTAGAATGAGTGTGGGAAACTGAGGGCCATGAAGAGAGTGTATGCAGACAAATTCTCTGTGCTTATGATTGAAGAAGCCTGGAGGCCAGGATTCTGGGTGGAGGGAGCTCTACACATTTGTGAGTTGGAGACCAGTCCCAGTCATATTCTCCTAATTAAAAATCATCCCCACAACATCTTTCCATAATAGTGCTGCCTTAATGATACCTCTTATAAGCACATGGCTGATTATTGTATGGTCAGCAATCTTATCTATAGGAGCAGACATGTTGCTATTTTTCTCCCCTCTCAGGGGACTTTCAACCCCCTTCTCCCTGCCCCCAGCACTGGTGTTAGGTTAGGTTATGCCCCCAATGAGCTCAGGGACATCTGGATTAGGACACTGCCTACTTTGTTACCTACATGGTTGTCCGTGGCTAGGGAGGCTTGCATGTCCCAGAATTATATACGTTGGTGAAAAAAAATACACTCTCTCTTCCTCTTGGGCCTGGTTTCATGGAAGAGATGAGCACCCAAAACCTTTTGTCTGTCTTTTTATTGACTCCCTTCAATTACCCAAACTGTTGTCAGCTGGCTCCCACAAATGAGCATAATTGATCTGAAGAGAGCCAACCTCCAGGGGTTCAAATTCGGCTTATTGCTTCCTTCCTGTTTGATCTTAGTATATTTACTTGATCTCTGTCCTTATTTTGCTCATCTTTAAAGTTAGAATTATAATCTTATCTACCTTCAAGTGTTGGTTATGGGGACTAAATGAGTTAAATGCAAAGTGCAATAAACTCAAATATTTGTTTTCATTGTTCCTATTATTACTGAATTTCAGAATTGTTACTGGGTTTGCCAATTTAATTTGGCAAAAGCGTGTTGATGCATTTAGAAATGTTTTTAAACCTCAATAGGGCATGAGCAGTTTTTATTGCCCATTTGAAAGTCAGCAATTCAAACCCACCAGCCGCTCTGAGGAGAAAGACTTTTAATTTAAGACTTAAAGTCTTAAAAGCCATACTCTACCTGGTCGTTATGAGTTGGAATCAACTTGATGAGATGGAATCAACTTTGAGTTTGGTTTTTGTTCTGTTTTGTTTTAGGAACAATGCAGTAAGCTTGGTTCACAGAAACTGTTAACAATTTCATGTAATAAATAATGGGTAGATTAATATTCTCTATTTGTGAGTCAGCAATGTGATGAGGGAAATCACTTCTTAAGTGATTTCTTAATCTTCTGTAGGAGGCATTTTAGAAAAATTGCATTTGAGAATATTGAACTCTTTGGCCCTCTTGAAAATACATGAAAAATATAAAATAATATTTCAGCCTTTAAGAATTTATGTTATAGTGTGGAGACTGAAATTGTATTAAAGGACAAGAAACTTTATATTGCTAGGAGAAATCTAGGGAAAGATGTCAGAAAAGGAAATAGAAAAACCTGGATCAGGTCATTGGTAAGTTCATATTTGGAACTGGTAGAAAGTTAGATATGCAGCTTAACACCAAATTGTGGATACCTTGTATTAAATGTTTAGGAACTGAGCTTCTGAAAGCTTTTGGTAAGGTAATATGTGTAGAGTTGTTTTATGTCCATAGTGTGGAATATTATTCAGCCATAAAAAGGGATAAAGTATTATTACAGTATAGCATCGATGAACCATGAACTTTGTGCTAAGTAAAGGAAACCGATACAAAGGACCACGTATTATAATTCAGAATAGGGAAATCTATAAGGATGGAAAGTAAATTAGTAGTTGCTGGAAGTGGTTGGAGTGAGTGGTGCGTGTTAATAGGTAGAGATTTTTTTTCCTGGGATTATTTAAATGTTCTGGAACTAGGTAGTGCTAATGGTTGCACAAATTTATGAATATATCAACACCCCCCCAACCCAGTTGTACACTTTAAAAGGGTAAATTTTAATGGTATGTGAATTTTATTCCAATTTTAAAATATATCTATTGAGAAAAAAACTTTTAAAAATGAATCTGAACCCCAGCCTTACTTACTCATTCAAAAATTATATTGTTAACTACAATGTAGCAAACGCCAGTCTGGTTGGTATAGGTTAACTAGCTAGCTCCTGCCTCTAAAGATCTTCTAATCTGTATATGTGAACATATAATATCTTAAAAGATACAATAGCGGAGTTGTGTTCTAAGGTTTCCAAGAGGTTTGGCAATGACACTTGGGTTAGTTGTAGCAGCATGGCCAATAAGCAAGGGAGGGACCTCCAGGTGTAGGAACTAGCGCCGGCCTAGGGTTATAGGTCTGAGAGAGACTGTTTAAAGGAGCATTTTATGGCTATAGGAGTCTAGCTGTCTGACTGGAATGTGACTGGAAATGAGCCTTCCTAAAATCTGAAAGTTTGGAATAGCTTGCATAATCTCATGAAACTTCTTCGGACATGTTTCTAAGAATTTTCTATTTTAGAGTAGTACTAATTCAAATTTTGTGGATGTAAGACAATGTAATACAATATGTATTTTGACACAAAAGGCAATCTATATACACACTTAGTACAATGTCTAGATTGTAGCAACTGGCCAAAATATGCGGATTTTTCTTAGAAAAGCCTAATCATTTTCCTTTATTGCATTTCACTTATTTAAAATAGAATTAAGGTCCTAAAATATGCAAACTTTAAAATGCATTTGTACCTAGTGTTATCACCCATCGATCCTTGGTTAATTTCTATATTTTAATATGTAAATTCACAAGGAAGTAAATAGCTGCTAGACTAATCTGCTGGGCTAGACTTAAAGGCAGTCTGTTCACTTATATGTCAGTTTTAAAAGTTTTTCTCTAGTTTGAAAAAACTAGTTGGTGACTCAACAAAGAAAATCATTTTGTGCCTGGGGCGGGGGAGGGGGGGGGGATGGGATCGTGATACAAAGGTACATATATTTTGCATCAATTAAGTGAGGCAGAACTATATCATTCATCCAGTTAATACTTACTGCCAATCACATGGTCAGCTGTTCAAAACCACAAGCCACTCCACAGCTCTCAGAAACCCTGGGAACAGTTTTACTTAGTCCTTTTGGGGCACTGTGAATGACTCCATAGTTGACTCAATGACAGTGAGTTTGTGTATGTTTGTTGTTTCTTTCTACCTACTGTAAGACTGGGAATGATGGAGGTGCTGGGGATATATTAAGGAGTTAATATATAGACATGGCCTTTTTTCCAGAATATATGTTTCAGCTAATCTCACTTTTTTTAATTGATCGAATAACTTTTAATTACCTTTTACAGATAGATAATAAAATGTTTACAGATTAAATGAAATAATAACTGGGACATGTATTTTGAAATAACTGAGAGTAGTTATACATTTAAAGGTTGTCTGTGAAAACTGTTGGAATTAAAGATTACCGTATATACTTGTGAATAAGCCGAGTTTTTTCAGCACATTTTTTTTAATGTTTGAAAAATTGTTTAATCAACTATTTACAAATCCCACTTGACAAGATTAGTATTGTAAAGAATAGATAACTGTAGTCAATTTCTAGAAATATATTCACATATAAGAACTTTTAAAACAATTTATAGTCTCATCATAAACACATTCTTCTCAATGAATTATGATATTTAAAGTTCTAAGTAGAAACTTAAAAAAAACTTATTTTATTGGGGGCTCGTACAATTCTCATCACAATCCATACATACATCCATTGTGTCAAGCACATATGTACATTCACTGCCCTCATCATTCTCAAAACATTTGCCCTCCACCTCAGCCCTTAATATTGGTTGCTCATTTTCCCCCTCCCTCCCACGCCCCTTCCCTCATGAACCCTTCATAATTCACAACTTATTATAGTTTTGTCATAAGTTACACTGTCCAATGTCCGCCCCCCCCCCCCTTCTCTGCCGTCCCTCCCCCAGGGAGGAGGCAATACCTAAGTTCTTTGTAATCAGTCCCCTAATCTCACTCTTAATAAAACAGTTCTGTCCATGTCTTGTCTGCTTTGCCCCCCAAGAATTTTACTGGCAGACTATATTGTTTCTGTTCAGAACCTACTAAACAGAAAATGTTTTGAAATGTTCAGTATGAAAATCTTTATTTAAAGCAGTAAAAAGGGATATATTTGCATTGCCTGTTGCCATTACCAGAAATGAGACCTAAGTCTATGACCCTGTGAATTAATCTTGTAAGGTAGTAGTGAAATTCATGCCTTATTTGTCATTATAGAAGTATGTAAAATGTGTTTTATAAATGATTTCGCTATGTATTTTTATGAAAAACTACTTTGGGGAAAGACTTAACAGTGATTTATCCCTCTTTGTTTAATTCTTTCCCTAGTAAAATTGGTTCTCCACCCAAGACTCCTGTAAGTAATGTAGCAGCTACCTCAGCTGGGCCCCTTAGTGTTGGAACAGAGCTGAACTCTGTGCCTCCCAAATCCAGCCCATTTGTAACTAGAGTACCACTATATCCTCAGCATTCTGAAAACATTCAGTATTTTCAAGATCCAAGGACTCAGATACCCTTTGAAGTTCCACAATACCCACAGACAGGTAAGTAATTTTAGATTTTTCTTAGAAATAAATTATATTTTTGCATTTGTTGCACTTAGATAAATAGGTCAATTTATGTAAGAATGTCAACATTAGAAAATCCATGGGGCTACATAACCCCATTGTTTTCTTTCCACCCTAATCTGCAATTCTCGGTATCGCTAGTTTTAAGATTGTCATTCCCATGGATTAAATATAAGGTCAGGAGAGGAGGTTTAGGGTGGCTTATCTCTCTCTTGAAAGTGTTTTATTTATAAATGCACTTGTATGTATTTTTTGGAAAGACATTATACAGCTTATAGATTTTGAAAGAGGCTTTAAATCTCTAACCTCCCCCGCAAATGTTAATAAACAATGATCTGTTGTCAATTTGATCTCGTATAGATAATTCTTCAAGAACACAAAGAAAGCTCAAGACAAACTTTGTTTTTTTAACTACTTAAATTAAACTATTGTTTGGTTTAAAGAAGACTTCACAGGTTATTCTTGGTTCAAGATTAAGGTTTAATGATTATGTCCGGGCAATAATTTTGGAGGCTCACCCAACCTCAGTGGCTCCAGGTAGTCTAGATTCCATGAAAATTTGAAATTTTGTTCCATAATTCCCCCATTAATTAGAACTTGTCTATATTATCTCTGATCAAAATGGGCAGTAATAATAGGTGGGTACTTTATGGACCAAACATAATAGCAACTCAAAAGATTAAATATGACGCTTAGGGGGGCAGTGTGTTTAAGTTAACAGGACAGGAGCCATTTGGAAAAGAAGATAAAAATGATTAATTAACCAACTTGAAGAACGTAATCAACATTAACCTGTAGAAAAAATATTGAATTGATTTGTATTTTGCCTTTGCTAATAACAAAAATGTTTTTATAAGACAATGGGGGGGAACAATAGGAATCTATCTAATTATTTAATCCAAACCTTGTAGTAATACGTGTCCTAGAAAGGAATTTACCACCTATCTGTTAATAGCACTGTCGTGCATTTTTAAGGAGTAGGGGCTGTGATTTCCAATCTACCAGCCACTCCTCAAGGGAAAGATGAGGCTGTCTACTCTCATGAAGAGGTAAAAGCTCTGAAACCCACGGGGCTATTCTGCTCTGTCCTATGGGGTCCCTGCTAGTTGGAATTGACTCAGTGGCAGTGAGCTTAGAGCTTGGAATTCAACAAGGTATCAAATAGTTTCATGTGGTCCTGTCTTGAAAACAAACAGATTCCTTACGAAGCAGGTTAAAGGAATTAGAGACTGCATTGGATGTAAACAATGGTAAAATGGTGTATTTTACTAACATCTTATTAAATATTCCTCTTTCCAATTTTCAAGGATACTATCCACCACCTCCAACGGTACCAGCTGGTGTGGCTCCTTGTGTTCCTCGCTTTGTGAGGTCCAATAACGTTCCAGAGTCCTCCCTCCCACCTGCTTCCGTGCCATATGTCGATCATTACAGCACATTTTCCCCTCGAGATCGAATGAATTCTTCTCCCTACCAACCTCCTCCACAGCCGTTTGGACCAGTTCCTCCAGTTCCTTCTGGAATGTACGCTCCTGTGTATGACAGCAGGCGCATCTGGCGCCCACCTATGTACCAACGAGATGACATTATTAGAAGTAATTCTTTACCTCCAATGGATATGATGCACTCGTCTGTCTATCAGACTCCTTTACGGGAAAGATATAACTCACTAGATGGGTATTACTCAGTGGCTTGTCAGCCACCAAGTGAGCCAAGGACAACTGTGCCTTTACCAAGGGTAAGTGATCATGGAAATAGGAGTGCTATTAAGGGCACTATCTCTGGAATGAAGTCACCAAGGTATATGTCTTGGCTCTTCCACTTACTAATTCTGTGACTTAGGAAGTACTTGACCTCTCTGTGCCTGTTTTTTTATCGTCATCTGTTTACTGAAAATAATAGTGGCACCTACCTCATAAGGCTGTCCTGAGGAGTCAATTAGAAAAAAGCAAAGCTCTTAGAACTGGGCCTGATACATATTAATGCTCAATGAATGTTATATTTGGATAGGAAACTTGTGGAGAGGTAGAAAGTGATCTTCAAAATAACAGGCACAGGGCCCTTTTTTTAGCTCCAGTATCACCACATATTTACAAATGCCCCCCACCCCTTTTTTTTTTAAACAAATGCCCTTCTTAAACCAGAAAGTGAATAAATATGTTTTCCCTTTTTGGAAAAAAGGGAGTACATAGGCAAGCGGCGACATCTCTACCTGTTCTGTTCTCTCTATTTGGTCCTAACAAAATAGTGGAATGTTTTTGTTTTCAGAGGACATTAAATTGATTCACTTCCCCTAGATGATTAAGACTGTTTCTTTTATCCCCCTTAGGAACCTTGTGGTCATTTGAAGACCAGTTATGAGGAGCAAATAAGAAGAAAGCCAGAGCAGTGGGCACAGTACCACACTCAGAAGGCGCCTCTTGTCTCTTCAACTCTTCCTGTGGCTACCCAGTCGCCAACACCGCCTTCTCCTCTACTCAGTGTAGACTTTCGCTCTGATGTAAGAAAGGTTTAATCACTTATCTTGCAGGGGTAGATCAAACTGCTGGTTTCACAGCACTCATTTACACTAAGCCAGGATAGTTAAATGTTGGTGATTTATCAGTGGTTTGGTGTGCAGCTGAGTGTAGTTCAGTGAACACTGTAAGCATGGCTAGGTGTTGGAAGACTCGAAAGAGCATCATTGAAGAGTATGTTCCTTTTCCCCCAAAGATTCAGTCTTTCCAGCATCATAGTTCTCATTGTTTTTGTGGCTTTTATTTATAATGAGATTTATATCTATCATTTATTGAGCACCTGCACGTGCCAGGCACGGTACTAAACATTTCCATAATGCGGTTTTATTTCATTCTTTTAAAAACCTTTGGGGGCCAGTATTCCTATTGATAGGTGAGGAATCTTACCCAGAGAAGTAATTTGTCTAAGATTATTCAGCCTGGGAGGTGATTCTCACTAAGTCATTTCTTTCCCACTGTATCAGAAGTACAGGAGTACTCACTGTATCATTGACTCTGTTTATATCACTCTTAGTTATTGTTCTTGACATGAAGTTTTTGTTGTTTAGGATGATTTTACCATTGTGTTTTCAGTACTGTTAAATTTAGAGCAAACCATTTTATATTGTTAAAACCATTTCCTCTCCACACCCAGAGGTTATAAGAAAAATATTTGATCTGTTCATTATGAAAATTCCAAAATCAGGATAATATAATAAACTCCATTACTCATCACGTGGTACAAATACCAACTTATGGTCAATTCTGTTTCATTTATGTGCCTTCTTCCCATTGGAAATTTTTTATATTTTTATAGGATTTTAATTTTTTTTAATCATGGGGGCTCGTACAACTCTTACCACAATCCATACATACATCCATTGTGTCGAGCACATTTGTACATTTGTTGCCCATTGGATAATTTTGAAGTAATCTTAAACAGAAGTATTTCAGTAAACTATAGAATTTCTAAAACCAGGTCTAGATACATCTTACCAAATGGAAGACTGCTTCAGAGCATCAAAACATTTTTAAACAGTGACAGAGTTAACTATTTGCCCAGTTTGTGGCTGGGGAACAGTTTTCATATATTATATATTTATGGGAAGCACACACACATCCATACCAATAGCAGATTGAGATCTGCTTTGGGGATACCATTGTGACTTGGAACAAGTTAACCTTTTGTGGGGGGGTATTAAGTTTACCCATCTGTATATTTAGGATACAAGATTTAATGATTTTTACAACTGTCATATTATTCCTGTCTTATAGTAATCATTCCTCAGGATACCTTTAAAATGTATCCACTTCCCCTTCTAGTGCCATAGCCTTCATTTCTACTTTAATACTATATGATTTATCATTTATGTTTTCTTATTTGCATTATATCTTATATACATTATTTTCTATAAACTCTTAAAAAGTATGAAGTATGCATGTATTGTTTTCTTGCTCCCCATCCTCCCATGTGTGATACATAGCATAAATACATATTGATTTGTTTTATATGTTACTCAAAGGACTAAGAAAAAACAGCGCATACTATTTTCTACTAATAAAATTACTGTAAATATTTTTGTTGCTTATGACAGTTTATTAGTTAATGAAAATATGATTGTTCAATGTAAAGTTCAGTATATTTTGTAATAGTTACTTTATATGAGTTTTTACTAATTTGACTCTGTTTCCCCCCCGCCCCCCCCCCATCAGTTCTCCGAGAGTGTGAGTGGTACAAAATTTGAAGAAGATCATCTTTCCCATTACTCTCCCTGGTCTTGTGGTACCATAGGCTCCTGTATAAATGCCATCGATTCAGAGCCCAAAGATGTAATTGCTAATTCAAATGCCGTGTTAATGGTATGATTTTGAAGGGGGAATAATGCATGTTCACTCAAGTTTGAGAATGATTAAATGCTTTTATCTTAATATCATTAAATAAATCATCTGTAAGCAGGAAGATTATATTTAGGTATGTGCCAAGTAAATTGCATGTAATATTTAAATTTTATGAGCATAGTTTGCTGGTGGAGAAAGACGCTGGGCTATCACTGCGATCTAGTGTAAAATTAACCAGAAAATGTAACACCATGTCTTTGACTAGCATGCACTTATGGTAGCTGGAGTAAATCGCCACAGTTCGTTCACTGGTTTTCTTTGGTTTATGCAGGACTTGGACAGCGGAGATGTTAAGAGAAGAGTACATTTATTTGAAACTCAGAGAAGGACAAAAGAAGAAGACCCAATCATTCCTTTTAGTGATGGACCTATCATCTCAAAATGGGGTGCGATTTCCAGATCTTCTCGTACAGGCTACCATACCACAGATCCCGTCCAGGCCACTGCTTCCCAAGGAAGTGCGACTAAACCCATCAGTGTGTCAGGTAAGCTGTGCAACTGCTGCATAGCCTGATTTTGTTTGAGGCACTGCACTTTTTTAAATCCTCACCTTGTGGGTTAGGTATAGAACTTTTCCCTGGAAACTTAGAATTAGATGTTTTAATTGGCATCACATGGCAATAGGATAAGCTACAAATCTTTTTTTGAAAAGTTACATCTATATTACTGATGTTTCACTTTTATAATTGTTTATTTCCACATCCCTATAGATTATGTTCCTTATGTTAATGCTGTTGATTCAAGATGGAGTTCATATGGCAATGAGGCGACGTCCTCAGCACACTACATTGAACGGTAATGTTGCTCTTAATTCTTTTTTGTTTTTTAAATAATACTTTATTGTATTTTTTTAAATACTTTTATTTGGGGCTCTTACATCTCTTATCACAATCCATACATTCCTCCAGTGTGTCAAGCACATTTACACATACACTGCCATTATGATTTTAAAAGTGTTCTCTTCCCACTTGAGCCTCTGTTATCAGCTCCCCATTTCTTGCCCCTCTCCCCCCCCCAACCTGCCCTCCCTCATGAACCCTTGATAAGTTATAGATTATTTTTTCCATATCTTAAATTGTCCTCCATCACCCCTTACCCACTTTTCCGTTATTCATCCCCGTGGGAGGGATTTCAAGATTGATCCTTGGGATTGGTTCCCCCTTTCTCCTTTCTCCCCCTCCCCTCCCCTAATCCTCCTGGTATCTACTCTCTTGTTGGCCCTGAGAGGTTTATCTATCCTGGATTCCCTGCGTTGAGGCCTCTTATCTGTAGCAATGTGCATGTTCTGGTCTAATCCAATTTGTAAGGTAGAATTGAGGTCATGATAGTGGAGTGAAGGAAGCACCAAAGAACTAGAGGAAAGTTGTGTCTTTTATTGGTGCTTACTGCACCCTGGCTGGCCCGCTCTTCTTTCTTTTTTTGCTCTTAATTCTTTAGGTTTCTATCTTCTCATATTTGTATGGATCATCAGAGTACAAATCCTATCTCCAGTTGTTTATGAATTGTTTTGCTTATTTGAGCTATATAACAAATAACTGAAAAAATGTTACATTTGGAATGGTAACTGAGACTTGCAGGGTTGTTTTATTAAGTAAAATATGTATAGTAATTATTTTTATCGTTTTACTTTTTTTACAATAAAAATATTTCTATTTAAAGGGACAGATTCATTGTTACTGATTTATCCGGTCATAGAAAGCATTCCAGTACTGGAGACCTTTTGAGCATTGAACTTCAGCAGGTAGGTTCAGTGTCACTCAGGTTTGAACTGTTAAAGTTTAAAATGGCTGTTGACAGCTACTGTTGCTTTTTCTCTACCCCCCCAACAGGCCAAGAGTAACTCATTGCTTCTTCAGAGGGAGGCCAATGCGCTGGCCATGCAACAGAAGTGGAATTCCCTAGATGAGGGTCGTCACCTTGCTTTAAATCTTCTAAGCAAGGAAATTGAGTTAAGAAATGGAGAGGTAAAGAAACACTCAACTTGTATTCACTATGTCTGGTTCTGGTGCACTTTGGCTTGTGCTGTAACTTACTGCGGCTTAGTGTGCCTTTTTCTGATGGATAATTTTCAAACTTATAGTAGAAATAATAATTTGTGGTCCTAGATTCCTCAATTCTTAAAATTTTGGAATTCCTATTTTGATTTAAAAGGGAAGGCTCAGTTCCCATGAATATAAGATATATATATATATATATATATTTAATTTACAGAATGATTATACAGAAGATGCAACAGATACAAAGCCTGATAGGGATATTGAATTAGAGCTTTCAGCACTTGATACAGATGAGCCTGATGGACAAGGTGAACAAATTGAAGTAAGTACCACAGTTATATTTAGGAAGTTTCATTCCATTGGAAATTAAAATGTAAAATACTTCCACACTTAAGGATTAATAGATTTTATTTCCATAGGAGATCCTTGACATACAACTTGGTATCAGTTCTCAAAATGATCAGTTGATGAATGGAACAGCAGTGGAAAATGGACATCCAGTCCAGCAGCACCAAAAGGAGCCACTAGAGCAGAAGAGACAGAGTTTAGGTGAAGACCATGTGATTCTGTGAGTGTTAGACAGAAAATTCACAACCAGTGGGCATAGGGTAGGGCTATTTAAAGAGAAACAGATGCAGTGTTTGACTTGATGCTGAGATAGGTGCACATGTTTGACTTGATGCTGAGAGTGGAAGGTATTATATAATAAGACCAAATGGACTTGGCCATTCTAGAGTTTTAAGAATAGACAGGTAAATTTGAACAACGTGGTCCATAATAGTACCCTGAAAATTGCTTTGTATTGAGATGACAGTTAATCTTTATGTTCTTCTCCAACCTGGTAGGTAAACTTCTAGACTACAAATGGAGAATTAAAACTTAGATTAAAGATTTGCCATTTTAAAAGTCATGTTAAAATTTGTTATAGCTTTTAATGTTGCCATTTCTTTATTACTAAAAATAATAATTGAGTTTTTTTTTTCACTTTAATTTTTTCAAAACCATTATTTGGGGAGTTAATACAGATATCATATCATTCCATAGTTAAATCACATCAAGCAGTCTTATACAATTAGTACCACAGTCAGTTTCAAAATATTAACAACCCACTTCCACCCCCTTTTTTGAGTTCTTGGTGAGTGTTTACACAGCAAGCTATATTCCTATTTGAAAAAGCTTTGGACTGCTATAATCACAAGGTTGTGGGTTCACACCCACCAGCCACTTTCAGGGAGAAAGATGAAGTTATCTGCTCCCATTAAGATCTGCAGCCTCAAAAACACTGGATAGCGTCCCTGTAATTGGAATCGACTTAATGGTAGTAGGTTTGTTTTGGGGGTGAATATGTTGAGCCAGTTGACTAGAGTTGATACATGAGACCTGAAAACTAGTGTTGGAACTAGTTATATCTGAGAACTATCCTTATTTATGTCTTCAATGAGTGTATGTCCCTGCATCTAGATATTTGTATTTCATATACCCTGTTTCCCCAAAAGTAAGACACCCCCGAAAATAAGACCTACTTGCAGTTTTGCCTCTCGCTGAAATATAAGGCATCCCCGCGAAAATAAGACCCCCTGAGGCTACCGTAACATAGTGGCAGGTTGACTGCAGTGCAGCCTGAGCAGACAGGAAGTGTGATGTCTCTTTTAATAAAACAATAAATGTGTACCATATAAGACATCCCCTGAAAATAAGACCTAGCACATCTTTGGGAGCAAAAATTAATATAAGACACTGTCTTATTTTCGGAGAAACAGGGTACCTATGGATACATCTTTCTCTTCTCACCGTGTATACATCTGTACCTATTCGTGTGCTGTATACATCCAAATGTGCTCACTTATTTCTAGTTTAGTTCTATTGTGCTTACTCCTTCCACATTTGGTGTCACTTGAATGTGATCATTTATATGGCCTTAAATTAAGCAGTAGTTTGATTATTGTAATTTTCAGTAACATGGAATTTTTTTAGCAACCACTCAGTTTTTAGTGAATAAAAAGCTCTGAAACATTGATACACCTTTTATGAAGCATGTATAGTTAATATAAAAGTTTTCACTTAAAAGTTAACTTGTCTTCATTGTCTTTTTTTTTGTCTTCAGGGAGGAGCAAAAAACAGTTCTGCCGGTAACTTCTTGCTTTAGCCAACCCCATCCAGTGTCCATTGGCAATGCAAGTTGCCTCCCCATCACCACATCCGCCAGTGTTGGCAGCCTCATTCTGAAAACTCATGTTATGTCTGAGGATAAAAATGACTTTTTAAAACCTGTTACAAATGGGAAGATGGTTAACAGCTGAAAGGAGGTTCATCTTTCAAATTTGTGACCACACCATGGAAGCATTTACAGTAGCTTTTTATATATATAATATATATTATATAATGTATATTTTTTTTAAAAAAAAGATATTACTGGGCATCCATTTCCTGTGGACTCTTTGATACTTCAGGCCCTCTTGCATTAGCATTCTGAAAAGAAAAAAAAAAGAAAATTTACTTTAGTAGGATAACATGTTCACTTTCCAGAAGTGGTTGGAATTTGGACAACATTTAACTTAAGCTTCAAGCAGCTTTTTATGAGTTTGTAGCAATCCGGTGCAGTAACTGAGCCATTTCCTGTCTAAATGGCTTCTATAGAAAATTAACAACTCAGTTATTAACTAGCAGGATCCTACAATGATACATCTAGTGAAAGTAGACTTAATTAACTTATTTATTTCTATTTTTTGTTTCACTGAGAGAAATTTCCATCTCATTCCAGCTGCTTTATTTATCTTTTGTCATTGGACTTTGCATGGATTTTTTTTATTTTAATTCTTGGAGAGTGGAATTAGGCATTATTACTATAGAATTGTACAGGGTTACACTAGCTTTCTTTACTGCATTATATGTAGGAGTGTGGTGCAGTGCTTTTATCTGTAGCATTTAAAACTTTTTTAATTTTCCATTTTTCACAGATAGTTTCTGCTTTATTACTATTAATATTTATACACAGGCTACTTGTTGAAGTAAGTAATTAAAAATATAACCAAGTGCCTAAGTCTTTCAGCTGATGTACTAGATATTAAATTCTCCTAAGTTATGCAGAATCGTTTTTACAATTTTGATAAATTATGCACTAATGTAATGGCAGTTTTTTAAATGCAGAGTTAAGCCTGTACATTGCTGAATCGGATGACTTGGCAAAAGAATCAGGTGCTTTCAGCTTTCATGAGAAAACCCTGTATGTAGCGTTTGCACTGACTAACAAGATGGTGTTGCTGGGTTTTTAATTTGAACTAATTGATTTGTATGCTCATCACATTATCTTAGTTAACTGGTGTTTATTGTTATTTCATGTTCAGGTTTAATTTTGCTTGTTTTATGTCTGAGAAGATTATGAACCATATAATAATAGAACATTGGCTAACCTTTATTCATACTTAAAAACATGAATAATTTCTGTCCTCCTAAAATGTGACTGAAATTGTGTTGACTTGCATCTGAAAGTGTGCAGTATGTTCAGTCAGTCATGCCTAAGACTGTGGGAGGTGTTTGATTGGAGTCTGAATTTCAGTCAACATTTTGAAAACAAAAGCTGGGCATTCCTTTCTGGTGATCTTACCTCCGTTTGTCTTTTTGTTTTCCCTCCCCCATTTCTTTCAGATTACTTTGACTTTTATTATTATTATTTTTAAATTAACTTCTGTGAAGTTGTTTACTCTGAAAATTGTACTGGAATATTTTAAGCCAAGCTGATCTTTCACCAGGTGTACTGTATGTAAGGGCTTTTCCTGCTAGCAAGATGCTTCAACAGGATCATGTTATTGGTCGTTTGAGCTATTTCGTTGTTGTACAAAACCACAGCATTATATCAGATAAGGTTTTGATAAAAAAGTTTTGTGCACATTTCCAGGGGCGGGAGGGTTGACATTTCCCTGAAATTTCTTGATCAGAATGAGTAAATAACTGGTGTTTGATACCTGTCTTAATGAACATGCTCCTAAGGTGACTGATAAGTTGTAAATATACCTGAGTAACAAAGGGGGTAGTTTTGATATTCTGGTATCAGTATGGAAGATCTTACACACTTAATTGAATACGCAAATGGATGAAGATGTTTGCTTGTAGCATAATGCACAGTAGCCTTGACTTCCTTTCCTTTGGTTAGACTGTACCTTTTGATATGGCCAGTGCTCCCCATCCCTACAAAGACGTTTTATTTATTTCTCTCTGTTACCTGAAGTGAATAGGAACAAGAGTTTTAAACCATGTTACATTAACTTATTTATGACATTTTAAATTAGCATAGGATATTCAAGAACATGATTATTATATAATTTATATCAGAACCTTTCTATAAATATGTGCTTATTACATTTGAAATGCTTCCAATGTACTTTAATTTGTTGTTTGTAATTCCAAAAAGGATATGCAAACCAGTATGTCTATTTCATGGATATTTAAAAAGTGAGATCTTCCATGTTGAAGGTAATGTATTTTTTTTTAAGATTTTAAAATTGCTATTTTGTTACAAAATAGAGACCTATTAACAGTTGGAGAGCTCCTTATGTGCCCTCAGGGAAAGAGCCCTCTGTGCAACAGAGCTACATAAGAACATCTTCAGCACGTTCTGAGGGTGAATATATACTACATAAATTGATCTTGTGTATTTAACCTATCTCTTTAATTTTAAAATTGAACATTTGAAACATGGCTGTGCTCTGCTAGAAGGGGTTTGGGATAAACTGCTTAGGTATTTGCCTACCTGTCCAGTGAAATTACATTTGTATCAGTGTATGTATATACCTGCCAACCTTATCGGTATGTCTCAGAGCACTCATATGAAAATAATGCTTGTCTTGCAGCAGGTGATTCCATAAAATAATACCTCCCTGTTCTTAAAAGTTCACTCTCATTCTCACTGACAGCATAGGAACGACTTCTGTGTTGGGATTATTCTGTATTGCATTCTTTTTCCATGTTATGTAGTGACCTGACCACCTTCTGTTTGTCACAGTGGGTTGATGATGAAGCAAATTGTTTCCCTGCCATTTTACAAGAAAACGTAGGTTACCTGATCCTTCTTCCAAAGGATAGCCCTGATGTCATAGAGGAAAAAGCAGCTACACATCAGATCTAAGATACGGCCTTTTAGATTTGGAGACATTGCCTTTAACCCTTTGGCCAACACGATGTGATCGTCACATGTTTGGAATTAAAAGAGATAAAGCAACAGGAGAATAAATCTGCAGTGTTGAACTAATGTGCATGCCAGGGCTATAGTCTGATAATCAGGAAAACGTGGGCTGCTGCCTGGAGAGCAGGAAAGCTATGTATTTCTCCTCCTTTTTTTACTTTTCTATGATCCATTTTATTTGATAAATTTTGAGAAAACTTCACATTTCATCTAGTTAGTACCTGCGTAAAGTTGATTCCTTTGCCTTTGCTGCCATGACTTACTTTGAATGCCATATGATGAGCCAGTGCCCTGCATGCACCCTGTGCAGTGGCATTTTCAAGAGAAGGTAATTTATTAGGCCATTGGCACTGACTATTTACGTAGTAGGTATTTATTACAGTAAGAGAGTAGTGAAATAAACCTATTAGAACTGAAATTTTCCAGTTATAAGGGCCTGGTTCACTCAAATTTCAAGTTGATGTTAAGTATATAAAGCACATCCCAATGTTATATGCTGCCTTAAGAAAATTATAGGATGCATAGTCATTTGTAGGAATTGAAAACGAGATAATTTAGACATTTGGAAGAAAAGTTGTTTTAAAAATCATCTAGCTTGCTTTTGCATTTTAGGTGTTAAGCCCATGTTTGTTTTGTTAATAGGGGTAAGATTGATAAAGATCAGATTCCGCATATAATTTCAATTTTGAATCTGTATTTCTTCCCTGGCTGCTTTTGAGCAGACTGTACCGTTATTGGTAACTAACTGATCATTAAAGGGGAAAACTTGCATTGCAACTATGTATGCTTCCCGGAAGAACTTTTGTGTCTTAGTGAATGAAGAGAGTTGATGGGATCACTAACTGTAACTCCTACATAGGGACCCCTTCTGCAAAGCAGAGCACAGATGAATATGCTCAAGGAGTATTCCATTTTCTGCTTATTGAATAAATTTGCTAGTAACTCCTTTACACTAGCAGTTTCTTTGTATGTCTTTGCTGGCAAGGAAATACAAGGAGTGAGTCAAAGCCACAGACCAGAATATCCCACATTGGAGTACAGTCCAATTTTTACTCCAAGAGCTGTTATTCCCTCAAGTCTGGAATTGGCAGTTTTTGTTTTGTTTTCATAAAAGCTTAAAAAAAACATCCCCAAACCAGTGGAACGTAGTCACTGGCTGCACTTAGTACTGCCAAAAGCCAAGATCATTTGCACATATTCCATCAACCTTTCAAGAATTAGGCCTCACTTTAATAACCCAAGGCATGGAAGTGCATGCATTCTCTTAGCTGGGCAAACAATTATACTGTAGTTGTGATACAACACATGTGGCTTTTATTTGTACTGCACATACCCACTGTACAGCCACTTTGGAGTATCGTGGTTAGCTTACAGCAACTGCTGTCTGCATTTATACTGTTTATTGCATATTCTTTTCCCTGGAAGTGAAAGAGAAATGTTTTTCTTGTTGCGGTGATACATTTTATAAATTTGCTTAGACGGAAAGTTTGGGAAAAGAGGCCTGTTTGTCAATTGTACAACCGATTGTGAAGCTCTAGTGTGAATATTTTTACGTCTGTATTAGACATTTTCTTTTCAAATCTATTGTTCGATTGAAATGTAAATGAAATTAAAGATGGTGTACACCCATCATGTAAAAAGCAGGCACCATCTCTAAGATGGATTTAATGCTCATTTTTAAGGCATATTCTCAGCTTCTATTTAAAACTATAATTTAAAATAATTCTGTACAATGAAATGGGAACTATATATGGGAATAAATTCTATTCCATTTATTTCAATTTGAATTTCCAAATTGTAATGTTTCCCTTTGTGCTATAGGAATAGGATTAAATGGGGAAAGGCTAGGGCTTATATGGCTTGTATATGGGGGGAGGGCCGAGATGGAACAATGAGGGTTGTGATGATAGTGAATAGCAAAGAGTGAATTCTGTGTGTTTTGCTGTAGCACTGAAGTGAAGAGATAGTAGCTTTGGCTGTTCACAGAATAGAGCATCATGATTTTCAGTGTTTGAGAGAAAATTGATGGAAAGTTGCAGTACTTGACATGTATTTGCATGAACAAAATAAAATTATTTGTCCACCTTACAAGTTTTGTTTAGTGTCAATATTAAGTTTATGACATGTTTTAGTTATCTTGATTTCATATATATACACACACACACACACACACATATTTGGTATAACAAAGCTTCCAGGATACTTCTTAAATTGGAATTTCAATGATCTGCTGCGTTTACATATCATTGGGAAGGATCTAAAAGAAATGACTAGATCCAAAGAGGTTCATTCTGTCAGTCACTTCACTGACCCAACAGCACTTTCTGTGTGGATGTATTAGTTCGGTAGACTAGAGAAAGACTAGAGAAACAAATCCAGGGAAACTCATTCTTATGTGTATAAGAAAGCTTTATATACAAGAGCTGGTTAATATTGAGAAAACATCCCAACCCAGTCCAAGTCCATAAGTCTGATTTTAGCCAATATGTCCGATACCAATATGTCCTCCTCAGACTTATGAAACACATGCAATGCAAGAAGATCACAGGCCAGCGGTGGGAAGTCTTGTGGATCCAGTGGCATTGTAAGCATCTCAGCGCTGGCAGGGTTCTCCACGTGGCTTCTCCGGCTCCAGGGGTCTGGCTTAATTAGCCTCTCTCCCTGTGTCTTCTCCACAGGATGTCTCACAGAGAGTCAGCAGAGAGAGTGTCTCCCACCTCCAAGAAGGAAAAGCGGAGTTCCCAGATTCCTCAGGAGAAGGCCATGCTCGCACAGAGGTCCCATTGGCTATGACCCGATTTACAGGCTAGACTCTACCCCTAATCCTCAAATTGACACCAGATCATATAGCTTCCACAGATTACCCCTTGTGAATTTGACACTTTCATGCAACTACTTAGCCATATATAATCTTCAAGCAATAATAAAATTCTATCAGTGCCTCATAGGATAAAACTAAAATGCATATAACTAAAATGTGTTAACGCCTCATTTAAACATAACATTCTATAAGTGAACAAAACAAAAATATACTTACGTGAACACCTACACCTTAATATTCCCCCACCTATGAAAGTTTGCAGGCCAACCACTTCATGCCTTTATCCCCCCAATTTTGGGTACCCAATTTCTATACTGCCCACTTACATCAACCCAGTGCTCTGAGGAGACAATCATATTCTTTGAACTCAAGAATCTTCATTCCAGTTGGAAGCTTGTATGTCTGCATCCATAAGCAACGTCAAATCAGGACAGGCAGTCCATAAAGTCTGCAGCAATATTCACCAGTTATCAGGCAGAAAAATCTCTTCATCTGGTCGGGTTCTGGTCAACTCAATGTGGACTGCCTCACTTAGCCTCACCAGGGTACCCATTGGCTGCCTTGCCTTCAGATGATAGACCCATCACAAATTCTCAACAACTAACCCCCTCGGACTAGGTCATGAACTTTAGTCAGCCCTCTCTCATCCTCTGATCCTGTAAATCAAGTCCGTGGGTGTCAGTGGCCAGACTGAACCTGCCTCTTCATTGCTGCATTTCTCTCACTTCCACTCAAGTGAACCCAAGTGGTCACCTAGCAAACATTTTAGCCTGCCCACAGGCTGCCTATAGCAATTCAGTCCCAGAGTGGAGGGGCTCCAGATTTTTCCAGTTTCTGACCAAAACCCCTAATTCAAGATTCCAAAATCCAAAGAGTTCTTTTTTTCCCCTTCAATTTGTCAATCTTGCTCCCTAGGCAAGTCTCTTGGAATGCAAATGTCCTGAGTAAAGTACTGTGAGGGGCTAATCTTTTCAGAACCTCCTTTATAGGTATGTCCTAACCCATTTAAAGGTTCAAATTTTAATGGCTCAAGGCAAGTGGGCTTACAGCTCTCTGTTTTCATACTTCCCAATAATCATTTCTATTAAACCTTATATTAACAATAAGAAGCAGAAGAAATCATTATAAACAAAGTATAATCGGATACTAAACTCAATTCTTAAAGCAGTTAAGTTCAATCCTTATTTAACTTATCTTAATTCTATTGATACAAAGTACGGGATTAGGCTTCTGACAGCATCAAACCAGATCCAGGGGTTCTGTCACCCATTTTGACCTGTCAGCCATTTTCTCTAAGCAACATAGTTTCTGAGAAACTCAAATGGCTATTTCTACCCCTCGAGCTCAAAATATACCATATATACTCGAGTTGAAGCCGACCCGAATGTCAGCCAAGGGGCCTAATTTTACCACAAAAGCTACATTTAAAATGTGCTGGAAAAAATCCGCTCATACACTGTATATGTGGTATATTAAAAATGTGAATTTTTGTCATTTCACACAGGAATAACCAAAGACTACAACCAAACAAAATAAGCAAAACTTTTAACACCATATTCTTTACAGAAAAGAACATGGTAAACTGCATGGGTATATCTGACCTCTGGCTAGCCAAAGGAGAAAATCTACCATGAGGGAGAGGTCAAACACACATCCACTCTCCATCTTTATGATTTGTTTCTCTAGTACCTCACTCCTGGTACCATAGTGTGTTAGTCCGGGTAGACTAGAGAACAAATCCAGGGAGACTCATTTATGTGTTTAAGAAGGAGCTTTAGACTCCACCCCTTCACTCTTAGTCCTCAAATTGACACCAGATTATGTGACTACCACAGAGGGGGATGAGGACATAGATCATAGCAGTTCACAGACTAGTGCAGAAAATAGGACAAATACACAACTAATAAGAAGCATTGTGTGTGAAGGAGCAGGAAGACACCCTTCCTTAATACCAAGAAGAGAATGGCCTGAGTGGACCCTCTTCCCTCACTGGGCCATAGGAAGGTTTATTCATTTCACTCAGCTGTGATGTACTTTAAGCCCTTCTCTGTGCGAGACGTTGAAGATGAAAGGTCACTGAAACATGAGACCTTTTCTCTGGAAACTCATGAAAACGAGAAAGACAAATTTGAATATCCAGTGCCAGTGACATATGTAGGATGCGTGGAAAGTCCAAAGCGAAATTTTGGAGCAGGTGGTACTGGTGTTGAGCCAGAGGAAGTGCTTTTCAGAGCAGTGACCAAGCGGAGTCACAGGACAGAAGCTCAGCTTGAGCACTCTTTCTTCTTTATAATTAGCCATTCTCTATGTTAACATCTTTTATTGCACTTAGAATGGCCTCCTGCTTTATGTATTAGATGTTCAATAACTTCCCCAAGGCGATATAACTAGAAAGCTGTAGAGTCCAATTCTGAATTAGGTATGCTCTCTACATGTCACGAGGAGGGGTTGTGGTTGGAACTTATTTTAGCCATAGGTTATAGTGGAAGGAATGTTTAGGTGTTTAGATGATTCACTGGGTAGTATATAACTATAGTTATAGCACTTAGCATCTTCCAGGCTACAGATTGTCACCACCTAGGTAGTCTGATTACCATCATTTTACATATAAGAAAACTGAAAGACCCTACCGAATTCACCCAAGGTTTCAAGGGACTACATGAAAGACATTGAATAACCACACCAGAGACTATGTCCTGGGGACTCTCAGAAATGAGATCATATGAACAGTTGGCGGGTTTGGAAAGACCACTTTGGTAGTAGTGTGAAAGATGAAGGGGCCATGTCAGCAGTCTAGGCGAGAAGTGTTGGGCGCATAGCCAAGCAGTGATGAAAGGTGAGATGGGTTTGCAAAGTAGTGAACAGTTCAAATGGGTTGTCATTGCATACAGAGAGTATATTAGACGTCCATACATTTATAATGGATCAGGTTAGATTTAGTCCCAAACCATGGTTGAGAACAAATATCTTGAAGTTTATAATGTGTACCTCATGGAGTGACAGATGAGAGCAAAAGGAAGAACAGTTGATCCAGATGAAGGAGAGGAAACAATGAAGCATTGGAAATTCCAGGAGGATTTTATTTTCCTTGATAGGTATACCTCTGAAGGAAATTTCATATACTTTCACATATATTAGTATATATTTTAATTATTGGAAACATTCTAGTGCAGGTGTCTCTTAACTTATGCACATTATAATCAACTAGGGATCTTTTTAAAAATTGCAAATCCTGGGTCACCCCCAATCACCTCCCGATCAATTCAATTATAGTGTCTAGGAATAGAAATAAGGTAACAGTATCTTTGAAGCTTCCCAGGTTATTTCCAATGTGCAGGAAAATGCGGAAGCCATTGCCATATAATAATAAGTTAATTTGGGGGTCCTATAATAGCTCAGGTACATCAAAACAACATTTACCCCGAAATGTTTAGACCTTTACGTTTTCAGAGATTCATCCAACAAATGATAGTTGAGGACTTGTACGAGGTCCCTGGGTGGCATAAATAGTTTGCATTCAATTACGAAGCTAAAGGTCTGGTGGTATGAAACTCCCCAGTGCTCTGCAGAAGAAGGGCCCGAGGGTCTGCTTCCGTAAAGATTAACAGCCAAAGCATTGCAGGAGGCAGTTTTACTTGATAACTCATGAAATTATGGGTTGGAATCAACTGGACAGCGATTTAAGTTTTTGGTTTACTTGGTCTCTATGAGTCAAAATTGACTTGATGGCAATAAGAGGAGGAAGATGCTAGGTATTGGGGTGAGAAAATGGTGCAGAGACCACATTTGACCTCTGGCTACCCAAGGGATAATCTGTTGTAGTGGCTACAGAACTCAGAATACTCATGATTAAGCAATTTTATCAGGAAAAGTTAAAACTTTACCACGAGCCAAGATCAGAAAACTTGAAGGATTAACTCGTTACCAGAGTAGAAAGCCTCCTCTTTCTCCCGTGGAATGGCTGGTGGTTTCAAACTGCTGACCTTGACCAGCCCAACACATAACCACTATACCACCAGGGCTCCTTGACCAAAGGCACAGAGGCTAGACTTTATAATATATCACAAAAGGGATTACTGGTAGAAATTAAGAAATTTCATTTTAACCACATAGGAATATAAAATACAAGAGTGAACAAATCCCTAATTTGATGAAATTCACATTATAGTTGGAGGGACAGATAAGAAGTAAATAAAAGGTAAATTTAGATAATGAAGAATAATAAAAGCAGAATGCAGATAGTCTGTAGAGGTTAGTTATTCTCAGCGGTGCCTTATACTATCTGCAGTATTTAGAGACGTCGGTCTACTGAATATCTCCATTTGGATCTCTAATAGACACCTCCACGTTAACCTTCCCCTCTACTTCAGTGTGCCTTATCTCGGTTATTAACCTCTGACAGCTCTTCCTCATAACCTAAGCTATCAGCAAGTCCTATCTGTTCTACATTCAAAATGTAATCAGGTTATGTTAACAATACTACTTAAAGCAATTTATGGATTCAACCTAATCCTTTTCAAAATCCCAAACGCTGTTAACTGAAGAAATGAAAAAGCTGATGCTCAATTTGTATGGCATTACAAGAGCTACACATAACCAAAATAGTCTTGAGAATAAAGAACAAAGTAGAAGGACTCATGCTTCCCGATTTCAATCATAGCTATAAAACAGATTAAAACAGCTTGATAGAGTTGTAAGTATAGATAACATACTCTAATGGAATAGAGTCGGGAGTCCAGAAATACGCCCATGTATATATGGCCAATTGATTTTGACAAGGATACCAAACTCATTCAGTGAGGGGAAAAAATCAACTCAACAAGTGGTGCTGATATATGTAAATACTTAAGTTGGATCCAGACCTCACACCATACATGAAAATTAAAATGGATCAATGACGCCACAGAGATACAACCATAAAACTGTAGAAGAAAATGGGTAAACCTTAATGGACCCTGTCTTAACAGTGGATTCTTAGACATGAGTAACAAAATAGTAAATTATGGTTCACCAAAATTAAAACTTTTGGTGCATCAGAAGGCTTTATAAAGAAAGTGAAGAGACAACCTCAAGAATAAAAGAAAATACGTGACAACCAAATCTGTGCGAGCGTTTTTAATATCTAGAACACACAAAGCTTCTATAACTCAACAACAGGATTAAATGGGAAAAGGATTTAAATAGACATATCTCCAAAGAAGATACACAAATGGAAAATAAACACATGACAAGATGTTTCATGTCATCAGTTGGTACCATCGATATACCAGAGTCACGGTCACCCCAGACAACAGATAACTAGCTTTGTCAATTAAAGCAGATCCCAAGTTGTATATTCAGGTCTCATGTTCACAAATGCTGATTAAGATTATTCACTCTGAAGATTACAAAACAAGTCATCAGTGGCTCTACACAAATTGTTCTTGATTTGAGGATAATTCTGACCTCTTTAGTAATTTCAACAAACAAGTTCTCAAAAAAAGTTTCACAGTACACAGATTTTCCAAAATGGCAGGGGTACTAGCACCACAGAGAGCCCTGTTTTAAACAATGCATCATCCTATTTTTAATGATTCCATTTGTACAGCGCTTTCTGTTAGGTGCTTCTTATGAGCTCAATGCTGAGCCCTTTTAAAAATTATTTGCTATTTTAGATTTACAAAAAATGGATTTCTTCTATATTGTTTATGCAGAATCGCCGAAGGTCAACATATAATTGTGGTACAATTATTGAAACTACTGATAAAATGTTACTGATATTAGTAACGCGATGGAAATAGTCAAGAAATCAAGTAACGTTGCATTGTACAAATCTGCAAAAATGGCATTAGAGTGTTCAAATACAAAGATGTCACTTGGAAGACTAGGCTGCACTTGATCCAAGCCATGGTATTTTCAGTTGCCTCCTGCATGCAAAAGCTGAACAATGAATAAGGAAGAAAGCAGAATCAATGCATTTGAATTATGGTGTTGGTAACGAATATTGAAATTACCACGACCTACCAGATGAATGAGCAACTATGTCATGGAAGAAATACAACTAGAATGCTCCTAAGAGGGAGTGCTATGGCAACATATATACAAATAAGCCTGATACAACTGATGGATGGATTGTAATGAGCATTGTAAGAACCCTCAATAAAATGAGTGATCATCAATAATTTTTTTAAAGAAAAAGGAGGGAGTGGCGAGATTTCATCTAACAGTACTTTGTGGACATGTCATCACTGAAGTGGAGGGTCAGCGAGAGGAAGACCCCCCCCTCCCCCTTGAGAAGGCCTGACCCAATAGGCTCAGGACTGGGCTCAGGGCGGGACAGTGTTTCCTGGGTTCTCCGTCGGTCGCTGGCACTGGACGCAGCACGGAGGCACCTAAGAGAAGCAGCAGCAGCAACATTCCTTGTTCCAGTTTTGCCCACTGCTGCTCTCGTGTCCTTTTTCTGTCCTAGGGCTTCGTCTAGGAGGGTGTCACATGACGCTTAGTTGTCCCGAACCTGACTTTGTTTCTTTTTAAATCCATGTTCTGGCGTGTGTTCTCGGGGAAATGATTCCAAATCTCTATGTCTTCCGTTTTAGTAGATGAAATGTAATGAAGAGCCAATAGGAAACATATGAAAAGGTTTTGGAAACTTAAAATGGAAGTGAATACTTTTTTTTTTTAATTACTCAAAACTGGACCTAAACAGCGCAGTTCCTTGAATGGTCACAAACAAAACAAACAAAAGCGTGTTAATATTGTCGAAGTGTTTTGTCCCAAAGAAGGCCCGGTAGCTTCTCCGGCCGCTGGAAGAAGCCACGTCTGATTGGTCAGCGCGGGACCGTCGTGACGCAGGAAGGCCTTCTCATTGGTCTAAGCAGTCGGGACTCCAGCGGCTACTCTCTCGGCAGGCGTCCTCCCGCTTCTCCGCTTCTAACCGAGCCCCCCTTCCTGTGGGTGCGCGGAGCGGCCCGCACGTAGGGATCCGGACCGAACGAAGTCGGGTAACCGCACTGGGATCAGCCGGGAAGAGGCTCAGGGCAGGAGCGCGGGAGGAGGGAGGAGGCTTGGGAAAAATGGCCATGCCTGTTCGCTGCCTGGACCCCTCACGTTAAAACGCGACTTCCTGGCCCGGACTCTGCACTAGCCACACCCGCACCGAAGCCACCCAAAGTGTCTGCGCCCCTCACTTCCTTGGCGCGGGTTCCGCCCACAGCGGCCCCGCCTCCTCTGGCTGACACCCAAATAGCCCCGCCCTCCTTCCGCGCCCCTCGCCTAGCTCTCTCCTCCCTCGGTGTTAGACCCTTTGAGATTGCTGCCCTGGGTTCCTCTCTTTCAATGGCCCTCCCTCACTGAGCGCCCCAACTTAGTGTCTCCCCGCCCAGGGCGCACCTCTTTGGCCCATTCTTGGCCCCTCTGCCTTCCTGGCCTGAGCCATGGTTCTGCCCTCACGGTGCATATTCCTCCTTTTGTCAGTAGCCATCCTTCCCTCCCTGTCACGGCTTCGGTCCAGGCATATCTTTATAAATGCAGAGGCCTGGTGCTGGGCATTTGAAGATGGAGGTTACCTGTATGAAGTCCTTGCTTTCAAGTGATCTGTTGGGGAGGTAACTTTGTAATGGAGGTAGACAGGTCTTGGTGATGAGTCTTTAATGAAAACGGTTCAGTGTTGGGTGTCTTAGGGAGGAGCACTAGAGCTTTCTTTGCTTTCTGGTTTTGCCATCTCTGCTGGCTCCTCAGGCAGATCTCTGCGGGATGAGTTTCTTCCAAACTGTCTCTCGGCTTTTTCCAGTGCAGAAGCTAGGCCTATCTGGTCCTTTCCATAACTGAGAGTCCTAGATTGTGTAACCAAAGTTGGCGGGCTTTCGAGACCCATCTGCCCAGTTCCTCAGTGTGCAGACTGGGGGGTGAAACCAGGACACAAGGGGTGATTTAGCTAGGCACAGAGCAACTCAACATCATACTCTTCACGCTTGATTCTGGTGTTTCTTCTGAGGATGCTTACCCAGAAAGCTGAGTTGATAGGAAAATCTACAAGTAAGCTAAATCGCCACTCAGTTAAATAAGAGCCTTCTAAGCCAATGGACCAGTACAGCTGTGCATTATTCAGAAGACAGTCTCAGAGTCAGGTAGCCCTGAGGTTTCATCCCAGTTCCACTGTTTGCTGTAGAACTTGGCAAAGAAACTAACCTTTTCTGAATCTTGGCTTTACTCTCCATTAAAAGAGCACAGTCAAGCCCTGTTTTCCAGGCGGGCAAAGGATTCTGGCTATGGGGAAATCAAATGTCAGGGTCTTACTTGCAAATAGGATCTTAGCACAGGTGAGTCCCCTACCCTTCAGCTTCATGTCTTTGTCGTCTTCTAGGCATCATGACAACCCTGGATGATAAATTGCTGGGAGAAAAGCTGCAGTACTACTACAGCAGCAGTGAGGATGAGGACAGTGACCCCGAGGACAAGGACAGAAGCAGGGGTGCCCTGGCCAGCAGTTCCACGTCTGTAGAAGCTGAGCAAACAGGCGAAGGCATCTCAGTTAACACAGGTACCGCCTAACCCCCCCACCCTTGGAATAGGCTTTACAAACATTCAGTCGGAGGTTTCCCGGTCACTTCTTTCTACTATGGCTCTACTCAGTGATCACCTGGTGTAATCATTTCCTTCTGCAGATTTCCTGCCTTTTTTACTGCACAATACAAGCAAGCGTGTAATAGCGGCATGGCTTCAAGCACACTGGCCTGGGTTTGAATCCTCCGCAGTGCCCTGCTTGTTTGATGCGGCATGAATCACAGGGATGAAGACATTGGCATAGCAGCTTTACCATCTCACGTCTCCGTATTGACAAATTGCACTCTGTTAAAATAAGCAACATACTATTTCCCAAACCTTTGCCCTCATACTGTCTTATCAAACTTTTTTTATCTTTGCCTCTGTTTTTGAAGAGTGAGATTGGACATCTTTTCATGAGTTTGAAGAGAGACTTTTGTACCCTTTGCCCATTAAAAAAAAAAAGAGTGGTGGTGTTTTTCCTTCTTGGGGAACTCTATATATCTAGGAAATTAATCTGAGATGAGTTGTATATATTTCTATCAGTGTGTTTGTCTTTTGACTTCATGTTCTTTCCTAACAGGAATTTAAAAAATTTTTATATTCCTCAAAGTACCATTTTATAATCATAATTTTATGTTCTTTCTTAAAAGAATTTCACTTCATGTTTATAAAGATTCTTCCATATTTTACCTCGTGTTTTCATGATTTACTTTTTAAATATTTGATTTATTTGGAATTCGATCCAGTGCAACCTTAGAGGAAGAATCCAACTTTCATTTTGCTACTCAGCTATTTTAACACTTGAATTATCCATTTTTTCTCCATTGATTTGAAATGTTTTTTGGTTTTTTTTTTTGAAATGTCATTTTTATCGTGTAATGAGTTTCTGTTTATGTCTGGGTCTTTAGCTGTACCCTGTAGTCTCTTTCATTGATTTGTTTCTTTCTAGGTTATATCACATTTTAAATTATTGTATGATTTAATATATTTTAGTCTCTAGTAGAATTGGTCTCCTTTTCTGTGTCAGCATTTTTCTTTTGTATTTTTATTTTTCCAAAGCAAATTTAGAAATATGGAGTCAGTTGTATTCGTTTGTTTTCACTGGGAATTCGTTAACTATATAAATCTACGCTTTGTGAAAGGAGACCTTTGTAGCGTAGTGGTTATGTGTTGGACTACTAACTGCAAGGTCAGCAGTTCAAAACCACAAGCTGCTCCATGGAAGAAAGACAGGGCTTTCTATTCCTGTAAAGAGTTATGGTCTTGGAAACTCGCAGAGGGCAGTTCTATACCCTATAGGGTCACTATGAGTCGGCATCAACTCAATGCCAGTGAATTTGGTTTTCAGATATTCATGTATGTTCACATTCACATCTGCTTTATACATATAGTTCATTTGATAAGTGTTTGATCTGAACTTTACTTTTTAAACTAATATTAGTGCTGTTTTGTCAGGAAATATAGAGCCTCCTCATTCTTTCTACAAGTTGCTTTATATTCCTTTGAGTAGATGAACCAAAAGCTATTTAACTCCTCTCTTCATGTTGGACACTTTGGGCCTTTAATTGATTGCCTGTCATGTTGAAGTGGCACCCTTGTGTAGAGACCGCTTTGCCCGAGTGTAAGCATTATTATGCAGTAGATAGAGCAAGCATTAGACAGCTGTGAAGCCCTAGCGGCTGATCCATTCCTCTTTGTCTTCTCCACGTTCCTTTCCACTCAGGTCCAAAAGGTGTAATCAATGACTGGCGCCGTTTCAAGCAGTTGGAAACAGAGCAAAAGGAAGAGCAGTGCCGAGAGATGGAGAGGCTGATCAAGAAGCTATCAATGACCTGCAGGACCCATCTGGACGAAGAGGAGGAGCAACAGAAACAGAAGGACCTCCAGGAGAAGATTAGTGGGAAGGTAATTTTTTTTGTTTTTTTTAATCAATTTATTGGGGCTCATACAATTCATCACAATACATAGATTAATTGTGTAAAGCACATTTGTACATTCATTGCCTTCGCAGGTCCGGTAGGTGTAATTGTACAGCGATAATGAGTAAAGGTTATAGTAAGATCTTAGAGAATAAGAGAGATTGATATAATGGAGTCAGACACATTTCATGGTAGCATGCTCACCTCAGCTCCTCTTGGTGGTACAGGGTAGGAGAGAGAGGGAGGGGAAGGAGGCCAAGGGGAAAGGGGAGCTAGGACCAGGGGAGAGAGCCAGGGGGAGAGAAGGACTGGGGAAAGAGCTCTTTATTACT